CAAAAAACGAACACTAAACACAGTTTTAAATAAAATACAAAACGAAATGTCACACACAGAAGAAATGTTTACCTTGTTTCGCTAGTATCACTTGTCATCGCCAGAGGGCGAGCTCTTAGCTGCATTCGCGAATACAGCATTCTACTTTTAAAATTACATACAATTAGGTCACCATTGCCATGAAAAAGTGTCTACGATGGTGAAAGATTTTAAATATTTAATAGCCGAATTATTAATAATAATAATAACTGTGTCATGACACCTGGGGGTGCCGATGGTATTATCTATTCATTATATTTCATCAAATATAAGTTATTAAAAAATACAATTGACCTGCTTAAAATAATACGTACCATTGTAATGGGTGGCACACCTTTGGCTGTAGTTTGTCTTTAAATTCACAAATACAGGGTGGGCCACCAGTAACGCCTCGGTCGCTAGTGACCAAACGGCAAATGTTACAGAAACCTGTTTAGGTGGGTATGTGTAGGTTGATTACGGCTACATTTTAAAAATATTTTGAAATATACAGGGTGTCCAGGAAAAGCGTACCATATCAAAGTTATGTTTTTTTAAATGGAACACCCTGTATTTTACTGCATTTTTGAAAGCACCGTAAAAAAATAGGTGAACTTTATTAAAGGTTCTGCATACCTAGGACTTACAGTTTGTGAGATATTTCAATTTTAGTGAAAATGCAGGCATAGCGTAGAAATTTAATATTAGCAATAAAAAAATAATTTTAAGGAAGCAGCTTTGGAGGGTCTATTTTAGATCCTTGAAGTTATAAATTGTTATATTTGTCGTCACTTAGTATTATACAGGGTGTTCAAAAAACTGCTGAATACTTCTCTCAACTTTAAACAGCAATAACTTGGTTATTTTAAATGGAACACCCAGTATATTTTTACTTTGGGAGTTGGGAAATTTAAAACTCTTTCAAACTGTGTATAGGTTCCCTATACCTATCTCTAACGGTATTGGAGATATTTGTGCCGTTTCGTTTTTTATCGATTTTTTTTTTATGATGTATCCACGTGTCTTTATCGAGGTCTTTACTGAATTGGTTTGGGTTCTTCTTGATGACGTCTCTTTAAATATATTGAGAAAAATGAGGATGCAATTAGATGGCGCACCTGCAAATTTTTCATATTCAGTGAGAAATTATTTAAATCGAAAATTTAGTAATAAATGGATAAGTAGGAATGGTGCATGTCAGTGGCCACGTAGGTGTCCAGACCTCACCGTAATGGACTTCTTTGTTGCGAGCTATATAAAAAATCTTGTATACAATGTTCCACCTATTACTTGCGATGATATTGGAGGGAAGGATTAGAGATGCATTTGCGTGAGAATATCATTTGAAGATAGAATAAGATGCTGTATTCAGGAGAATGGTTATCAATTCGAACATCAATTAAAATTTTTCTTTGTTTTTTCTAAAAGTAAAAGTTCCTTTTATCATTATCATGAAAATATTCAAAAAAGTTTTCTAATAAAAAATATTATTTTATAAGCAGAATGATTATAAAAAGTTATTAATTTTGTATAAATATGTTTGTAGTAAGTAACTGAATTATTTATGAACAAGAAAAATATTTATTAAAGAAAATTTTACTTTTAGAAGAAACAAAGAAAAATTTTAATAGATGTTCGAATTGATAACCTTTCTCTTGAATACAGCATCTTATTCTATCTTCAAATGATATTCTCACATTCCTTAGAATAGTTATTTGGGGTGATATATCTAATCCTTTTCTTCATATCATCGCAAGTAGTAGGTGGAACACTGTGTACAAGATATATATTTATACAGCCCGAAACAAAGAAGTCTATTACGAGAGGTTTGGACACCTGTGGTAGCCACTGACATGGACCATTCTTACCTACTCATTTATTACTTATTTATCGATTTATATAATTCCTCACTGAATATGAAAAATGTGCAGGTGCGCCATCTAATTGCATTCACATTTTTCTCCTTATATTTAAAGAGACGTCATCAAGAAGAACTCAAACCAATTCAGTAAAGACCTCGATAAAGACACGTGGATACATCTTACAAAAAAAAAATCGATAAAAAACGAAACGGCACAAATATCTCCAATACCGTTAGAGATAGGTATAGGGAACCTATACACAGTTTGAAAGAGTTTTAAATTTCCCAACTCCCAAAGTAAAAATATACTGGGTGTTCCATTTAAAATAACCAAGTTATTGCTGTTTAAAGTTGAGAGAAGTATTCAGCAGTTTTTTGAACACCCTGTATAATACTAAGTGACGACAAATATAACAATTTATAACTTCAAGGATCTAAAATAGACCCTCCAAAGCTGCTTCCTTAAAATTATTTTTTTATTGCTAATATTAAATTTCTACGCTATGCCTGCATTTTCACTAAAATTGAAATATCTCACAAACTGTAAGTCCTAGGTATGCAGAACCTTTAATAAAGTTCACCTATTTTTTTACGGTGCTTTCAAAAATGCAGTAAAATACAGGGTGTTCCATTTAAAAAAACATAACTTTGATATGGTACGCTTTTCCTGGACACCCTGTATATTTCAAAATATTTTTAAAATGTAGCCGTAATCAACCTACACATACCCACCTAAACAGGTTTCTATAACATTTGCCGTTTGGTCACTAGCGACCGAGGCGTTACTGGTGGCCCACCCTGTATAATAGCTAGATAATATCACCTATTAATTTTATTTGTAAACTTAAATATTTAATTTTTATCATAAATTTAGTTGCTGTTGGGATAATTTTATCTTGACAAAACAAAAAATACAGAATGATAATGGGATATGGGACAGAGTAACAGTAAAACTCCAAAATGTTATGTTTAATCTAATTTACTTTTAACCCAAATGTTGATATTAAGAGGTGTGGGGTATTAAAGTTGAGTTTTGTTTATTTTTTTGTCTTCAGGTGATTTTGAAAATATTAAACTAAATATTGGGAATAAGGAAATATGGTTTTTAAGGAAGTTAAACAGTACATTGTTTTTCGTTTTTTTTTTTGTGTGTATGGCTTACTATGTCTTAATAAAACTCTAACTTTTTCTTTTAAGAAGGTAGGATTCAGAATCTTTAGCCTAAAATTTAGGTTTTCTCTCTAAAATTAGATAAACTCTAATAGTCCTAATACACATATTTTTAAAAACTACAATTTCCTTAAAATTGCATATCCGAAACCTGCTACATATTTTGAAGTGTATTTTTTAACAATTTTTTTTATCTGAAACTTAATAACAATGTTAAAAGTTAGATTGACAAATATACTTACTTAACACAACATATAACTTACTGATACAAATTAAAATATGCCAGGAACCTATTACAATTTTTAATTTTGTATATAGAATTTAAACTAATCTTTATTATTGGTATGAGGACATTTTGAGGAGTGTACAATAATATGTTATTAGCTTTCAATTTAAAAAATTCTGTACAATATTTCATAAATTAGTTTTAGTAAATTATACCATTGTTCGCCTGGTTGTTGATGTTGCTTACAGTTTTAGGGAACCTTAAACAATGGCAGCCAGTGTGAAGTGCATTCAATGCTTTCAGATTTAATAACACTATGTGTTACATAAAATTTTATACTGGGGTACCTAATATAAGTAATATTTGTATGATCTTAATGCTGCCTGGATCCTGATAGGTTGCAAACTTCCTCATCCTTACCATAATTTATCTGGTAGCATAGCATATAAACTCAAACATTTTGAACTTCAATTTATATTTTTTGGATTCTACACACCAAACAAACTTTTGGTTTGTATTTCCACCGAATTGTACCCCAAATGAAAATCTACACTTGTTTTTTTGGATGACTATAAGTTCCAGGAACCTGGCCATATCACCGTTAAAAATACAGATAAAAAATTTAAATTTTGTAGTGACCAATTATCGTTGCTCCCTGGCCGCCCCTAGAGGTGGGGATAGGATTTTCTTTGAGTTATGCTTTTTATTTTGTTTTTTCAGATTCTACATATTAAATTTCAGTATGTGACCCTACAGATCATCCCCTAAGAGACTGGGTCCAGTACTACACCACCTCGTATATTTAGTTTTCATCAGTTGTCACCAATTTATTTATTTTAATTACATTGAATATTGTGATACATACAGGAATATAATTTATTATTTTACATTACTTATTTTTAAAACACTAGTGTCCAAAATGATACATAATTCTCAAATTAATTATGTATTGTTGCAGTAGAACCTCAATTATCCGCTATCCGTGTGCGAATAATTCGAAGTGGTGCAAAAAAAAGCGCTCAAAAGTAAAAACAAACACGAATCTGCTTGTTTGTCGCGTACGTATTATTACCTACACAATCTAGCATTTGGTTCGTGCATATGCAAAAATTTACTGATTTATTCAAGTAGATTCTACATATTAATGTCTTGTTGAACATGTTGAATGTACCTAATTGTACCTATGCAATTAGGTACGTACGTATGTATCGACCTTTTTATTTTTTATTGTACTGTACATGTGTATGTAAAAGGTTATGTGTAATAAAGTTCTTATTTTTTGCAAAATTGGCGAGTTTGAGCTTTATTTCGATTAACCGTGTTTTCGATTATCCAGTTTGGTCCCGGCCGATCCGGATAGTCGAGATTCTACTGTATATGCATAGCTCCCAATTTGGCTATACAGATAAACAAAATGCTTTAATGCTTATGAAATATCTGTTGAAAACAATTATATGTAAAATATATTGTACGTAAATTGAGCAAAAACACATTTTTTGCACTAGTTCCATAAATAATTATTTTTAATAAATTGTTTCTGGATATACATAAGATAAATTAAAGTGAGCTTTAAGTTTTAATTTAATTTGAAATTTTCTTCAGGACTACAGAAGGAAAGAACACATTTAAACATTTTAAGCTGAAAGCAAAATTATTTTAAAAATGAGGAAATGTTTATAATACAACATAGATGTCTTTTTGAATATTTTTATTCCTAATTTTCAGATAAGAATTTCTGCAATGAAAGTACTGCCTCTTCTTTGCAAAGATGCTAAAGAACATGTATGCAGAGTTGCTGATATTTTAGCTCAACTATTGCAATTAGAAGACCAAGATTATAACACTGCATGCAGCGCATTAATTCAAGTATTTAAAGAAGACGAACTAAATACTGTTAAAGCTATTTTTAACCACATACATACAACTGAAGAGAATACTTCAAGAGAGAAGAATATTCAATTTTTATATAAGAAATTAATAAAAATTCCAGAAAAGCTAAGTTCAGAAATAGAAGAAATATTATTAGAGGAAGGGAAGAAAATTATTCAAGTTAGTATAAATATTTCAGCAGTATTATAAATTTAATTAATTATCTATAAAAGTTTCTTACTTCATCGTGACATTATAGGATGCAAGTGCCACAGAATTTTGGGTTGTAATGCCTTATTTAACATCTTCAAAACTGGCAAAAACCATAACTGGGCAAAAGGAGTTGGTTGAACTAGTGGCGGAGAGGGCAGAAATTGATAGAGATTTTGATCCACATGAAGAAGGAACCTCTGACCGTATTATTATGTGTGTTGAATGTATATTACCTTTATTTAATGTAAGTGCATATTTATTTTTTAATCATTTAAGAATGTCTACATATTACTTTCGCTTTAGGCTAATGTGGAATCAACAAAGTTTTTAATCTATTATTGTGATCAAATTCTACCACATTGGGATGAAATAGGAAAACTAAATGATGGCAGCACCTTGCAATATCAGTTTTTAAAACAACTGACAGAGCTCAGTGCACATTGTGGAAAATTGGAAAATCCATCGTTACACGTGGTGCAAATTTTTGATAAACTTAAGGTATGTTGTTATTTCCATTCACAATCGTTTTAGTTTTATCAAAAAATAAAAGACAAAAGAATCTACTGTTAAATATTAACGTCCAATAAACATTTTTCCTCAAGTATTTTTTTACACAAAAAGGGAATTGATTCTCTGCCTCCAAGAACTATCCTTCTCTAAAATATTTTTGGAAAGCACAATTTAAATGTTTTTTTTTTGCATATAGCAGTGGCGGCTCTTGACTACCATACCAGGGAGGGTGGATTTTAGGTACAAAGTATTAAAACAAAAATCATATCCTTAATTGGACAGTTTTATTTTAAGTACTATTGAAATACAGGGAAAATGTGTTCAACATTATTTTTTATAGTGAACATCCATTGTGCTTTTGTCGACATAAACTTTTCAATTACTTTTTCCATTAAAGTAAAGGTATTTGTCGTACCATCGATTTTTCAATAGATAGCATTATTATTAGTCTGTCTTTACAATCAATTCAAACTTTTACAATATTTTGAAAAACAGGCAATACGTAACAAAATTTTAAGAAAAAAAAAACGTGAATAGCTACTATTTGATTACAGTCGGACTAAACAGAGCCCAAACTGCATAGTAAATATGCGCTACTCCTACTCCGTCTTTTACTGCTACGCAAAGGGAACCATGACCACCGCTGTAAGTTCACGAGTTCACTTATTTAAAATTTTTCAAACGAATTTTGCACATTACAAATTAATATTTTCTTTTTAGTATGTTTCATAAGGCTAATCTATTTAATTATCCAGCTATGAATATTTCTAGGAGGGGGCCGGCCCAGAGCCCCCATGCACCAGCCACCACTGCCAAATAACATTCCAAATGGACTTATTGAACCAATTATAATAATCCATTTATTGGTGTTTTATGTGATGCAGACTTAGGCTGCGCGGAAAAAAACCCTAAAGTAATTTTGGCAAAAAATCACTCAAACCAAATTACACAGGCCATGGATAACCACTGGTTTTAAGTACAAAAAATACATTCGAATTATGCATTCCAAAAAATTGGAGTGGTTTTATAGTTCTTACACATTGTACAGGGCGTTTCATAAAAACTTACTATAAATTATACGAACGACAGATTATTAAAAAATAAAACTATTTACTAAAGATGAGACAGTTTTCAAAATTTACAGACATTTTCAATTGAAAATTACTGCTTCTTTTGAACATTTTCATTTTTTTTATAATTGTTGTAATCTTCAACAAATTGTTCCCTGCATTGGCTAATCGGTCAAATATCAGAGCAATCTTGAATCTTTCAGCACATTTTTAATATTAACTTACAAAAATAGGTGATTTAAAATATTTCTATTTTGCAGTATAACAAATTTCTTATATATTATATTTAAAATTTAAATAAACCAATTGTTTAATTTAAATATTAAAATTCATAAAAAAAATAACTATGTAAACTACTTTGGAAATTATTCAATCTCGGAAATAATAAAGGCCTGCGTATGCTTCAAACTTATATTACACAATAATCTTTTCTGTGTGTTTGTAACATTATAGGGTCAACGACAAGACCCATTCAAGTACATTAAACCTACATATCATTTATCTATCATTCTTAAACTTATACATACGAGGTCCAGGAAATCTTCTGCAAGGAAAAGATACAGGGAGTCCCAATCCACAGAGTGATTACATTTAATGCCCTGTATCTTGAAAACAGTGTGATAGACCCATACTTCATAGGAAAAGATTCTTATTTTTAATACTCTGTTACTACTTAGAATTTAGGTAAATTTTTCCTGAAACATCCTGTATTTGATAGATAGTTTTATTTATATTTCTAATTTTTTTATTTAGCAATACATGCCACTTCCTCCAGATGATGTTGATATAGATAAAATGCCTAATTTAGACTTCACCACTGTAGAATGTCTGTTGTATTCCTTTCACCGATTAGCACGGCAATGTCCCGATTTTCTCACAGCTGATCCGCTAGTATTAAAAGACTTCCGTTCAAGATTGAACTATTTTTCACGTGGAGTTGGAGGCTGCAAAAAATCTTTAGAAAAAATACAAGTGAAAAAGGATGACGTTGATAAAATTAAAATTGCACCTGCTGTGCTTGACAATATAACGGCACTCATTAAGGATTTGTTTTATACAACACCTGTATATAAGTGCAACATTCAGTTGTCGTTTAAGACTATCGATAATAAGATCAAAGTAAGTATACTTTTGAATGAATAAATAGTAATTTGCCAGTACAGTAAAATCTCATTAATCCAGTATGATTATAAACCTAATAGTGCGGGAGTACTGGAAAATTTGAATTAATAGAATATGTATAATGTAAACAGTACTAAATTAAAAAACGTTACTTTTAATTGTTCATTAACAAAGAGATTGGTACATATATACATACATATTACATTTGTATGCGCATATACAGCCTGTTTATTATAAGAGGGCTACCCACTTAATATACGGCGCATGTCAAAAATCTTTATATGTTTTTTGTTGCATTTTTTGAGGCCTTTATGCCCGTAAAAACAAATTTGAGATCCATGGCCAACTTTGTGAGAAATTATAAAAAAACTGGAAAAGTGCCGAAAGTTTAAGGTCGTTTAATTTTTTTATTTTAAGAGATAGAGAAAACTTATTTTAATAAAATTTCATGGCAAAATTTATATCTTTCATCTGGTATAAACAGATTTTGGAACTATCATATGTAAATTGCTGCGCCCCCTACACGGCCAAAAAAAAATTGTCATCGAAGTAGGCTATGGCCACAAAATAATTGCTTGTTTTTTCCCTCTTTGATGCGATACGATTCGATGACAATTTTTTCTTTGCCCGCGTAGAAGGCACTAATTTACAGACGATAGTTCCAAAATTTGTTTATACCAGGTGAAAGATATCAATTTTGTCATGAAATTTTATTAAAATAAGTTTTCTCTATCTCTTAAAATTAAAAAGTTAGATGACTAAATTTTCGGTACTTTTCCGGTTTTTTTTATGATTACTCACAAAGTTGGCGATGGATCACAAATTTGTTTTTACAAGCATAAAGGTCTCAAAAAATGGAACAGAAAACATATATAAAGATTTTTGACATGCGTCGTATAGACGGTGTCCCAGAATAATGTGTACAACGGAAGACCGCAGATTCATGGACTCAAAATAGGCAGATCTAGGCTAGTTGACCTATATCCGAAGTCGCTTAGTTTGGCCGCTACATGACCTCAAAGTTGATTGGAAACCGCTCATTTAATCAAAATTCTACAAGAGTTTCAAAAACTTCCAAATGGCATCACCTATCAAAAAGTTATTATCACCACACGTCAATTTTGTAGGAGTTGTAGGTTTTATCACCAAAATGTATAGATCGAAAACAAAAGTTCACACCCCAAAAATTATCAAAATCGATTAATAGGTATTCGTGTTATTTACAAAATTCAAAAAATTCTCACCAACTTTGAGGCCATTTAGCGGCCAAACGAAGCGATTTAGGATATAGGCGAATTAGCCTAAATCTGCCTATTTTGAGTCCACGAACCTGTGGTCTTCCGTTGTACACGTTATTCTGGGACACCCTGTATATTGTAATGTTTTTATTTTTCTGTTAAATAATCTTTCAACCAAACTATAACTGTATAAACTGTATTCTTCAAGTAGATAAACGCAGAAAAAATAACGCCGAACTACTGGACGTGCCGGATTATAGAGTTTCTACTATATTTTGAATGCCAATTCTGCAATCAAGTTGAAAATTTTTTTAATGTGGAATATATTTTCAAAAATATTAATTTGGGCCCTTTGGTAGTTGAAGGAACAAATGTAACCTAAACTTTTTCAATCTTCACATTTTAATAATTTGGTCACAAAATATTGATAACTTCATAAGATTTCAAGCGATTTTTAATTTTATCGCATGTTAATTAGAAAACTAGAAGTATTTACTTAAACCAAACAAACACATTATGAGGCATATCCACAAAGAGTACTAAATTTTTTAAAAATCGAAACGGCAGTATATTTATGAAAAATACATATTCAGAAGGAATATCAAACACTATTATTCGATGTAGTCGCCTTCAACTTTAATGTACTTTGTGAGACGAGAGGGATGAACTTTCTGATACCTTCGANCTATTTTCTGAATTACAAACTTAAAATTGAATATTTGTTATAAGATGCAATATAATGTTTAATATGTAATAAAAATATTACTTAATCCGGATCTGCTTAAAGATGCGCGCGATCGGATTGCCTTCCACACTCCACTTCCCTGGATTTTGCATTCACTGGTACCCGTGCATTGGAATTAGAATTTAGATACGGCCAGTCTAGGTGGTCTGTGCTCTGTGGCCTGTGCATTGGCTAAAAAAAAAATAAATTCAAAATGGTTGACACTCACGCTAAGCAGCCGGTTAGTTTATTATAGTATATATATATAGTATTATATACGGTTTATAGAAAAATAGAAGCAATGGTTTAAGTATTACATTTTTTATAGCAGAAATTTACTTAATCGAGTGTGACTTTAACGAATAAAATGGGAGACAGTTTTGAAGAGTTGTATGAAAAATACAACGTTTTATCAGACGCTAAGGATAAAATTTCACAGGTTAGAAAAAAGTAAATGTAAATATTTTAAAAAATTATGATTAAAATTTTACATTTGCATAACTAATCATGAAATTTTTAAGCCTATAGAATTTATATTATAGTAAACTTACTGCTAGCTATTTTATATTTACTTGTTTTCAGCACTCCAAATTGTATTTAGAGTGCATAGATGGCACAAAAGGTAATGATAAGGAAAAGAAATTAGCGGCCCAAATTATATCAAAGTTCTTTAAACATTTTCCTGCATTACAAGATCAGGCCCTAAACGCTATTTTGGATCTTTGCGAGGATGATGATAGTATGGTAAGAAGTCTTAGCTCGATAATAGTATTTAAAGGTTTTCGTAATAAAAACATTACAAATGATCAATGTTTAATAGATGTTTACTATATGAACAATTTTGGGTAGTCAATGTTGCTATCTATCCACGATAATTTTTAACATGCAAGCGCACCAAGCGGCGAAAGCAGTAAGCTCCGAAACAAGGTAATTTTCACATTGCCGTTCGCGTTTACACATTCATTTGAACAACATTTGTCTTATTTGACTTTTGTGTTATTTTATAGGTTCCAAATATTTCATAAATAAATTTTAAGGCAAGTATTTATGTCTATTTTATTTGTCTCTAGCATTACAATTTACTGTACATTTTATTAAGTTATAACTATGAACTTATCCGTTGTAGAATACATTTCCTATTTACATATATGCCAACGAAAACTCTCGTATATCAGAAGGAGAGGCAGTTTTTAAGGCTGATCATGTGGTACTATATGGGAAAATTGGGCAAAGTTAATTTAAATTTAGAAATTTATATTATGTCTGCAAACTAGTGCCCTTACTTACTAACAACCCTCATGATATTCAGGGAGTATTATCTATCGGCAATAATATTTTGAAAATTTCTTCAATGGTTTGATGAACTTATTTCTGGATTTTTCTTGGACCATGAAGAGCAACCTTGAACTGAACAATAATAGTTTGACAGTTTCTTCTTTCTATCCATAATTGCCGAAATTTTCCTCNATTTTGACTAACACTGAGTTGTTCCTGCTTTGTGTCGATAAATTTCTGTTAAATAAGCTTTTTCTGAAAAGAATATTCTTCAGTTTTTGGTTTAGCAATTACTGCTTCCAAACTCGCAGGTACCATTGGATAAATATTACTTGAACGTGGAATGCTCAAGTCAAATAAAAAATGCACCACTTGATGCAGATAACCCATAGTACACCTATAGTCTCGTACACCAGTACTTTGCCAATGTGCTTTTTACCTTCAGGGCTTGAAAGAACTTGGTTTATCTCTACCATATCTTCTGATACTTCTTGAGGGTCTTTTATTTCAAGCAAATCATTATAATTTCTTTGTCTTTAGTCTTTGGTAGTTTCTGAGGAAGAATATTTCGTTGGAAAGTATTCCCTAAAACTTATGTCTGTTTGGAAATCATCTTACAAAAACATTACTAAAATTTTCATCTTAATTGGGGAAATAGTTTAGTATTGCCAAAATTAGATTATTTTTAACTGACACTTCTGTATAGGTATCAAATTAATTTAAACCAGTTCTAAAAATTTTCCTAAGAATCTCATCAAACGAAGTAATGCAGTGTGATTAGGTGGTGATTTGAATAATGCCACAAAATATAAAAAAAATTTGAAGTTGAGACTGTCAAATGCTATGATATTGCCATCATATTTAAGTATTTAATTTATCACAAGCAATAGCTTGTCTAAAAGGTTTTTTCAAATTCTCATATTTTTATCTCATATTTTGTACGCACTAAAATAACACTAATGAACTGCCTATGGATTAAACAAATATCTAAGTAACGTATTAGAACGTTTTACTATCTTCAAATTTTTTGTTGCCCCCTTTTATGGAGGCTAAGACTGGGGAGGACACTGCCTCTGAACCTCTATAGTAGCCGTCAGTAAATTGAATACCTATACTGAGAGAAATAGCAATTAATATAGTTTTTATCCAAAAATTATCCAAATTTAATGAGAAACAAAAAAGTTATAAGAAAAAATTGATAAGAAGTGGATCTTATTTGTGGAAGGGCGAAATGGGCGGTGACTATTAGACGCCTTCATTATAGCCATCTTTCTCTATCCACAAAGAGTACTAAATTTTTTAAAAATCGAAACGGCAGTATATTTATGAAAAATACATATTCAGAAGGAATATCAAACACTATTATTCGATGTAGTCGCCTTCAACTTTAATGTACTTTGTGAGACGAGAGGGATGAACTTTCTGATACCTTCGACAAAAAAATCTTCCGCGCCTCTTGGGTCCATTGTTTCATGGCACTATGGATCTCATCGTCAGTAGAAAATCTTTTTTCATTCATACTAGGTCTTCATTCCATCACTGTATCTCCCTACTTTATCCGATTTTTCAAACTACTGAGATAATCATCTATCTTTCTTACAATATTCTGTTTGATTCGCTATAAGATGTATCAGCAGGTAAATGTCCCAGTTAATGTGCTTTTTGACAGCAGGTCATTTTCAATGATCCTGTTGAATCTCCCAACCATTCCATCGGACTGTAGACGAAAAGAAGTGGTCTTGTTTTTGTAGATGCAGGCATGTAGCAGGCAGCAAAAATTCTGAAATATACTTCAGATTCAAAGTTTAATTCTTGGTCTGAATGGTAGATTAGATTTCCCTAATAGCTTATCCAGTTTTCACATAAAATAGGTTTTGATAGGAAGTTGGTGGTTCTATATTACTAAAAACTTCTTGACAAACTGCCAAATCTTCTTTTTTCTTGGCTTGTGGGTAGTTCTTCAGTTTTAATATTTTGACTAACACTGAGTTGTTCCTGCTTTGTGTCGATAAATTTCTGTTAAATAAGCTTTTTCTGAAAAGAATATTCTTCAGTTTTTGGTTTAGCAATTACTGCTTCCAAACTCGCAGGTACCATTGGATAAATATTACTTGAACGTGGAATGCTCAAGTCAAATAAAAAATGCACCACTTGATGCAGATAACCCATAGTACACCTATAGTCTCGTACACCAGTACTTTGCCAATGTGCTTTTTACCTTCAGGGCTTGAAAGAACTTGGTTTATCTCTACCATATCTTCTGATACTTCTTGAGGGTCTTTTATTTCAAGCAAATCATTATAATTTCTTTGTCTTTAGTCTTTGGTAGTTTCTGAGGAAGAATATTTCGTTGGAAAGTATTCCCTAAAACTTATGTCTGTTTGGAAATCATCTTACAAAAACATTACTAAAATTTTCATCTTAATTGGGGAAATAGTTTAGTATTGCCAAAATTAGATTATTTTTAACTGACACTTCTGTATAGGTATCAAATTAATTTAAACCAGTTCTAAAAATTTTCCTAAGAATCTCATCAAACGAAGTAATGCAGTGTGATTAGGTGGTGATTTGAATAATGCCACAAAATATAAAAAAAATTTGAAGTTGAGACTGTCAAATGCTATGATATTGCCATCATATTTAAGTATTTAATTTATCACAAGCAATAGCTTGTCTAAAAGGTTTTTTCAAATTCTCATATTTTTATCTCATATTTTGTACGCACTAAAATAACACTAATGAACTGCCTATGGATTAAACAAATATCTAAGTAACGTATTAGAACGTTTTACTATCTTCAAATTTTTTGTTGCCCCCTTTTATGGAGGCTAAGACTGGGGAGGACACTGCCTCTGAACCTCTATAGTAGCCGTCAGTAAATTGAATACCTATACTGAGAGAAATAGCAATTAATATAGTTTTTATCCAAAAATTATCCAAATTTAATGAGAAACAAAAAAGTTATAAGAAAAAATTGATAAGAAGTGGATCTTATTTGTGGAAGGGCGAAATGGGCGGTGACTATTAGACGCCTTCATTATAGCCATCTTTCTCTATCCACAAAGAGTACTAAATTTTTTAAAAATCGAAACGGCAGTATATTTATGAAAAATACATATTCAGAAGGAATATCAAACACTATTATTCGATGTAGTCGCCTTCAACTTTAATGTACTTTGTGAGACGAGAGGGATGAACTTTCTGATACCTTCGACAAAAAAATCTTCCGCGCCTCTTGGGTCCATTGTTTCATGGCACTATGGATCTCATCGTCAGTAGAAAATCTTTTTTCATTCATACTAGGTCTTCATTCCATCACTGTATCTCCCTACTTTATCCGATTTTTCAAACTACTGAGATAATCATCTATCTTTCTTACAATATTCTGTTTGATTCGCTATAAGATGTATCAGCAGGTAAATGTCCCAGTTAATGTGCTTTTTGACAGCAGGTCATTTTCAATGATCCTGTTGAATCTCCCAACCATTCCATCGGACTGTAGACGAAAAGAAGTGGTCTTGTTTTTGTAGATGCAGGCATGTAGCAGGCAGCAAAAATTCTGAAATATACTTCAGATTCAAAGTTTAATTCTTGGTCTGAATGGTAGATTAGATTTCCCTAATAGCTTATCCAGTTTTCACATAAAATAGGTTTTGATAGGAAGTTGGTGGTTCTATATTACTAAAAACTTCTTGACAAACTGCCAAATCTTCTTTTTTCTTGGCTTGTGGGTAGTTCTTCAGTTTTAATATTTTGACTAACACTGAGTTGTTCCTGCTTTGTGTCGATAAATTTCTGTTAAATAAGCTTTTTCTGAAAAGAATATTCTTCAGTTTTTGGTTTAGCAATTACTGCTTCCAAACTCGCAGGTACCATTGGATAAATATTACTTGAACGTGGAATGCTCAAGTCAAATAAAAAATGCACCACTTGATGCAGATAACCCATAGTACACCTATAGTCTCGTACACCAGTACTTTGCCAATGTGCTTTTTACCTTCAGGGCTTGAAAGAACTTGGTTTATCTCTACCATATCTTCTGATACTTCTTGAGGGTCTTTTATTTCAAGCAAATCATTATAATTTCTTTGTCTTTAGTCTTTGGTAGTTTCTGAGGAAGAATATTTCGTTGGAAAGTATTCCCTAAAACTTATGTCTGTTTGGAAATCATCTTACAAAAACATTACTAAAATTTTCATCTTAATTGGGGAAATAGTTTAGTATTGCCAAAATTAGATTATTTTTAACTGACACTTCTGTATAGGTATCAAATTAATTTAAACCAGTTCTAAAAATTTTCCTAAGAATCTCATCAAACGAAGTAATGCAGTGTGATTAGGTGGTGATTTGAATAATGCCACAAAATATAAAAAAAATTTGAAGTTGAGACTGTCAAATGCTATGATATTGCCATCATATTTAAGTATTTAATTTATCACAAGCAATAGCTTGTCTAAAAGGTTTTTTCAAATTCTCATATTTTTATCTCATATTTTGTACGCACTAAAATAACACTAATGAACTGCCTATGGATTAAACAAATATCTAAGTAACGTATTAGAACGTTTTACTATCTTCAAATTTTTTGTTGCCCCCTTTTATGGAGGCTAAGACTGGGGAGGACACTGCCTCTGAACCTCTATAGTAGCCGTCAGTAAATTGAATACCTATACTGAGAGAAATAGCAATTAATATAGTTTTTATCCAAAAATTATCCAAATTTAATGAGAAACAAAAAAGTTATAAGAAAAAATTGATAAGAAGTGGATCTTATTTGTGGAAGGGCGAAATGGGCGGTGACTATTAGACGCCTTCATTATAGCCATCTTTCTCTATCGCACGGATTTCTATGACTTTCTTTATCGCTCTCACGTAACTTCCGATGAACCATGGGGACTTTCCGACCCTGTATATAAAGTTTCAACTACAATAAAAATATATTATAATACATGCTTATGATATAGCTATATTTACACCAGGAAAATTAGCGAAAATAAAAGAGAAACTCGAAAAAAGTCCTATCCGCTAGAATTCAGGGGTCGGCAAGTAATTTTAGGTGCGGTCCGGATACTTTTGAAAATTTTTAACGAGGTCCAGGAAAAATTCATATTTCTTATTTTTTTTATTTTGATTTGGACTCAAATTTAATCTGCTTACTAATTAAAAACTCAAAACACACACAATTGTAAAATACTAAAAAAAATGATAAGATTGGCACTTAAACGTAAATAAAATTTTTTAATAATTTATTTGAGTAATTTATATTTTCAAAAAATTTTTGGCGGTCCAGTATTTTACCTTCCGCGGTCCGGACCTGGACCGCGGTCCGCCAGTTGCCAACCCTTGCGCTAGATTATTGTAAAATTGTCTAAAGGAACATAATACAAGACATCTCTCATCTCGTGAGTCAAAAACTTTTATTAGCTAACTTTTCTATTTAAACAAATAAGTGAGGAAAACAGTTTTTTCACTTTGCAGGGAAAACCATCAATTTTAGCGAAAAGTGACTCTCAGACTGCTTATAGGGAGTAAAATTATCTACAAAATGAGACTAGTTAAATTAAAATCGGTTAATAAACAAAAAAGTTATTGCAAAAAAACAAGAAAAGTGCTCATTTTTTCATTTGTTTGTAGCTATCGCATTTATTGTTAAAATTTTATAAAACCTATGACAAGTTGAGGGTTTTGTCATACTTTAAAAGTGTGCCAAAAGTGGGCGCTGTAGGTGTAATAGTTTTCGCACAATTCTATTTGTTTATAGCGGAGGCTCCTAAAGTTATGAACTTTACGCCTCTGTAATCTTAAAGATGCAATTAAGCGGCCTATTAAAAAATATCACCGTTTTTTTTGACATTAACATTCTCAAATTGTGCATTAAAAAACCGTGCGTTTTTCGCTTATAAACAATTTGAATAACATTGTTGCTATTTATACTATCTCACCGAAAATAGATGCAATGGATAGCTGGCAAAAAATACAGTTTTAAAATAAAAAAAGTACCCTTTACGACCAACAGGAGCCAAGATAATTTTTTTTATTTAAATCGTAGCGCAGTTGTTTATAAATATTAAGACTTGAATTTTTCGCAAAATAAAGTTTACGACGTAAACTACGATTTCCCGTGAATTGCATTGAAACATGTGGATAATTAGCGACTCACGAGCCCTTTGAAGAGAAGGTACTCGCTAAGTAAACTGTCCGGCGGCCGGCGGCGTGGTGGTGGGTGAAGCTCGTCCAAGCGGTCGTGTGGGCGAGAAAAGTTAAATCCAAAGTTCAAATAAGTGCGCGCTGTAAATTTTGCAATATCTCGGCTTCTATTCATTGTGAAACTTATTTTTTTTCTAAACTGGGGTAGCTCGACGAAAAAATAACTGGGCATATTTACGAATTCTTTAAGATTACAATGACAAATTTACAATAATCTAGCGGATAGGACTTTTTCGAGTAAAAATTTAATTTGCTTGGTCTAATTGCCATTATTATTAGAAAAAGACAATGAAACACGATCAATGTTTCTTTGTTCCAATCATGAGAAAGTGTTCTACCGAAATTATGTTTTGTTTAAAGAAACATGTTAAGCTATATTTCTCTAATAAAGTGTTCAGTTTCAACCTAGACAATTTGAAATTCATGTGTTATTTTTTTAAGATATCTCCTGCAAAACCAACTGGACCACAAAAAAGGCACGTCCCAATAACATTTGACTCTAGCAATGGTTCGTCATCCAAACACATTCGGTCAAATAAAAGTGGTGAAAATGTAAAACTGTATACACCACCAAGTGGGAAATTTAGCAACAACTTTCAGAATTATGGTAAGTCATTGTTTTTCAAAATTACAATTTTTTCACCTTTCAATACATGTATTAACATATACTTACATTATCTGTCTGGTAAACGAACGGAAAAAATCTGCTCACACAATTTTGCTTATACATTAACTTTATGCAACTTTAACACATAATCAAGAAAAGTAAAATAAGATAATTCATTAATTTCTGAAGGTCAAAAGCAAATGGTTTATTTTTAATTTTGTGATTCATCGTTAGCTTTTGGACTAGTAAGGGGGATGAAGCGTGCCGGGAATGAAAATCCATTGGCGTGTCTGTGTAAAAGGCAACAAGATATAGAAAATAATGAAAAAAGATATTAAAACATAACATCTAATATTTTTTTACGGTTTGCTATAACCGGCACTTTGATCCATTTTAATTATTACAGCATTTTAAAACGTCCCAGTTGTGTTTTTTTAATTTATAAATTTATTATAGCCATGGAATTAGACCCCTCGTCTACGCTTATGCTATGACGTTTCTCAGGACGGGTTAATCCAAGTCCGTTTACACCCACTAAAAAAGCATTTCCCTATTCCCTACCAAGTGCAAAAGACAGAGATAGAATATAGATCGACGTTCAGTGTAACTCGGTCTCTAGACGATTATAGATTCTATCGATGTGCGTAGCAAGCGGCACAAAGATAAATAATATTGAACCGTATAAAAATCATTTTATATTTTATACGCATTATGGTAATAGTGTTTTTATATTATGTCTTAGTCACTCTTTATAATTTCGACCGCGGAGTATAGAAGATGTATTAACTTTCAGCTACTAACACTTGGAACAAAATAATTAGTTGATATAATAGTTTATTAGATATAATTGAGTTATAGGCAAATGTTAGCCTAAGGCTCCTATATTAGCTAATATTGATATTTTATACAGGGAATTTTTTAAAATACAATCATTTTTAGAAATTTCAAACTGTATTTTATTGTTCTATTTGTAGTCTTATTGACTTAAATACTGAATTAAACTCGTAAACTTGATTATATAATTTATAGAATGCAAAGAAATACAGTAATAATACTGAATACACTATTTTGTTTACAAAACGTCAATCAAATCTAAATCTGACGGTCGCCTTCTATCCAACTGTTCGCAACACACAAATCGCCACGTAGTAAACTGGACTCAGTCCGCATATTTTATTCACATACCGGTTCACTTCAATCTATATCTAAAATTGTTAGTTTTTAAGATATACCAACATTTCTGAAGAAACTTAATTTTTATTATTTTACAGAATACCACAATTAAATATTAACTAATAAAGTTAACTCAAAATGGAATGATAAATTATGAAGTGACAAGTTGACACAATGTGACAGTTTTTTTCCAAAGCCATTTCGTGTGACTGAAAATAATAAAAACTAGATTTTTCCAGAAATGTTGCTATATAGAACAATAAAATACAGGGTTTTCCATTTGAAAAATTTTAGAAAATCCAGTTTGAACTTTTTAAAATGATTGTGTTATAAAAAATGTCCTGTATAAAATATTGATATTAGCTAATATGGGAGTCTTTGCCTAACATTTGCCTATAATGGTAAATTGGAGTAGGAAATATATAAGCGTATATCTGTCTTTTATATGATGGCACAGTCCGTTTGCTACTAGTATTTTTGTCACAAACAAAACCTCTATTGATTAACCTATAAATCAAGAGCCAAGTCTCAATTTGTAGCAACTTTTTTGTATTTTTTGCAAAAAATCTGCCTCAATTTTTACACAAGAATATTCTGGAAATACATATCAATGTCATCAGGGTAAAACGAAGCTCCATTGTATATAAAATTAGGTATTTATTTATGTACAATCAAACAAAAGTTTTATTACAAATATGAAAATTAGTAAAGGATGCAAAATCTTTAAACATGTAGTTTAGTAGACAAAGAAAACATTGACAGCATTAGAATATGTTTTCCCAAGAAAAAATGTAAATATTCCACTTACAAGTAACTACCCAACAGTCACTCATCAACCGGAATGAAATTTGGCACAACAATAAAACTCTAAAAAATATTGAACCTGTATTTTATTATTTTCTCGGAATTCGCTTTCAAAGGGTAGAAACCGCCCCTAGAAGATAGTAAAAGCGAAAATCTCCATAAATTAAAAAAAAACATATTTATCAACCAAACTCACTCACCCTATCCACCCAAACCAACTAACCCTCCCACTCCATGCCTACCCCTCTTCTAAACTAATCGACCCCTTTACCTCAACATCAAATACCCAACTGAACCTTTCCATCCTAACCCACCTAAACGTACCAGATTCTCTTGCCCTTACCCAAAGCAACACTCCACGTAAACCAACCCCTCACCCTCATGTACCGTGTGCTTGATTATCGTGAGTCCCTTGCCTTTCCCATTTGGTGTGCTTGATTAGCGTGAGTCCCCTTGCCATTTCTGTATGGGGTGCTTGATTAGCGTGTCCCCTGGTCTCTCACTGATCGGGAAGAAAAACACGATATCATATCAACTGATATCCCCTATTTTACATATTCATTGCAATAATACGGTGAATTTACTGCATGGAAAGGTTTAACTAGTTTAGTTTGATGTTGGGGTAAAGCGGTTGATTGGTTTAGGAGAGGGGTAAGCTTGGAGTGGGAGGGTTAGTTAGTTTGGGTGAGTGAGTTTGGTTGATAAATATGTATATTTTTTTATTTTATTTATGGATATTTCCATTCTTAATGTCTTGTAGAGGTGGTTTCTACCCCTTGAAAGCGAATTTTGAGAAAATAACAAGATATGGGTTCAATATTTTTTAGAATTCTATCGAGAATTCTATCGTTCATTCTGATCGGTGTAACAGTTGGGTAGTGTTACTTGTTAGATAACTGTAAATAATCACAGGCCAACATTTGACCGACCCTCTAACCCAAAAACCAGAATGTACTTTTCCGAAGGATTTTGTTGCGCTGAATTCGAATCCGAGGTCCAAATTTCTCAATTGTATCTGGTTTTCGAGATATCCTAATGTAAAAGTGTCAAAATCGCAAGTTTTTGACATATTTGAAGTTATGTTACATGGATATGTACATTTTTGCGGAAACTATTAATGGGGTCTTAAAGTAATATACTTACTTTCAGAGGTGGCCTTAGGTGATGACGAGCAGGGTAATCGCGTCCGGGGCCCTGCTCTTACAGGGGCCTCATGCAACAACTCGTGTAAAAAAAATTATATTTAAAACATTATTTTATCCTTACCTATTAGTTATAGAGATACGACAATAGAAATAAAGTTGGTCAATTCATAGTAAATATATTGATATTTAATAAGTAGTAATAGGTACTGTTAAAAACTAATATTTGGTTTACTTTTAAAATTAAAGATTTAGGTAAAACTGATTAAAATAACTTTAATATTTTCGACCTGAATACAACCACTGCTTATTAGTCAATGCCCGCTCCTATGCCACCCATCGATGAACTCATACTTTGTTTTATAAACATTTGTGATTTACAATCACCGATCGAGTAGCAAGGAACCGCGCATGCAAATTAAATAAACTATATCAGATATTTAGCGATTCTCTCTTCATGGTTTTCACAGTACCTAAATAATTTTCTCATTTAGATTTATGATTTATTTAATGATCAATATTAAAACCAATTAATATATGAGTGGATAATATTTTCTGGAATTTGACTGTAAAACAATTGAAAAAAATGTTTGAATTTTGTACTTTATTACTATGTTGTGAATATATTCAAAAGTCGAGAAATAAGTCAAACTACTAAATTTCAACATGCAGTTTCTCAAAGACGAAAATTGATATCGGTGCAAATCCAAGTGCCTTTTAAAGAATGCTTTAAGATGGTTTCAGCAAAAAAATGCTTGTCCATGTAACAACCTCAAATATATCAAAATATCGCAATTTTGCAACATTTAGGTTAGGATATCCCGAAAACCACAGCCAATTGAGAAATTTGGACTCCTGATTCGAATTCAGCACACCAAAACCTTTTGGGAAGTAGTAGTAGTAAAAAGGGGCGGCTTCAGCCTGGCAATTAGGCCACAAGTGAGCCCTTTTTATATTCGTGTATTTGGGTTAAAAACTTTTCGGCCTAATAATCATATTCTACATAATATTTGTGTTTCAGATCGGCCTTCTATCAGAGGCAGAGGAAACAGAGGAGGAAGAAGTATAAGAGGGCGAGGATCTTTAAGAGGAGGATGGAGAAACTGATTGTTTGTTTTTACAGATCATTTCTGATTTTAATTTTATTATTAATTTTCTGATATTCGGATTTATATTTTTTTTCTCATTGTAAAAATTTTCGGAAAATGTAAATTTGTTCAATTATAATATAAAGACTTTAAAACACAACACCTCATTTAATGTGACAGCAAAGACTTTTGTATTCCTTAGTGTCCCAAAATATCCAATGGCAGAAAAAATAAAAATTTTATCTTTCACTAAGAATAAAGTTAATTGCTTATTTCCAGATTCTAATAGTTATTATGTTTACAAATAATATCCACTCTCTGGGAACTTTTCGAGGGTTCCTCTGCTGGCACGTAACCTCTGTAATTGTGCGGGCCCATAGAGGGGGGGCCATAATTTTTCCCGGTAAACTACAATGCTGCATATTTCGATGTTTCCACCGTCATTAAGAAGTTTTCCCCTTTATTTGGATGGGCCACAGGATGTTTATGTGCCTGACCCTCAGGTATTAACGTGGTTCAGTTGACTGGCTATATTAGTCCCATAAGATATATACAGTGTGGAACAGCTCAATGGAATAAATTCAGTATCTCAATTACTGTGAATATATGTGTGTAAGTAAAATCTCGAGACACATCATTTTTGGATTCTGAAGTGAGACATCCTGCAATGTAAATATTTCGTCCCTAAATTCAACCCCGTTTAAGTGACAGTTGCAACTCCTAAATTTTTAAATGGGAAGGGAAGTAAGGGTATGTGTAACGAATTTGAAATGTTTTTTTATTCTCTATTAAAAAATGCTAGGTTTTCATATTTATTGCAAAAATTAGCAGTATAAAGATTAATTCATTTGCTAGACGTAATTTTCTCCAAAAAACTTAATTTCAATGTAGATGTTCCTTAAACGTCTTGACAGCATCTTAATCGTAAATTAGAATGTTTTCTTCCGTTTTCCAACATCTGAAGTGTGACCATTCACATAGAAAGAAATCTAAGGGTGTAAAATCAGGAGAACGTATTGGCCATTCTAGTGATCTCGCCTTCATATCCACCATTTGGAAATGTTAAGTCAAGCTATTGCCACTTGCCGGACATTGTGTCTGTAATGTGCAGAGGCAGTTTTGATTGCGATGGTGCCTTAAGCCCGCTCTGATATTGCTGACTCAATTATAGAATTAAAGAATATATTTAAGCTATTTGTGTAGATCCTTTATTGTTCCTCATAAGTATTATGTATCCTTTGCTTAGGGTGGGCCTAGAGCTGCCAGCTCTATGGAGGCCAAAAAAACAAAAAATTAAACCTCATTTTATTCTAAAGAAAGTTCCGCAGTCCGATGATAGACTATCAGGAATTTCAAATTAAATGGATAAATGATACTTTCTGTTAAAACTACATTAGTTTGAATATTATTTTAGTAATACATCATACAAATTTTATGTGCTATACATTCTACAAATATTTTTTCATCGACGAGTCAAAATTTACGAGAGAAGGTATTTTTAATAGACACAATACTCATTTGTGGTCATCTGAAAATCCTCATGTTATCCGGGAAAGAAACTTTCAAAATAAATATAGCGTAAATGTTTTTTTGTCTAATTAAAGATAACCAAATTTCTTACCATATCTATGAAGAAAATTTAAATGCCAACAGATATCTCAATATTTTGCAAACGGTTGTGGCAGATTTTCTAGATGATATACATTTAGACCAACTAAGGAAGTGTTGGTATCAATTAGACGGGGCTCCACCTCACTGTCACAATCAAATCGATCAACAGCTGAGTGAAATGTTTGAAGATAGGGCCTGGAATTGGCCAGTGAGGTCTCAATTTTTATGTTTGGGGAGTAATAAAGCAAAAAGTTTATTCTACACTCGTTGTTTAAAAGAGGATTTGATTGCTCGAATCCGAAGAGCGTTCCATGAATTGCCTGCAGCTGAAATAGCAAAAGCGGTGACTGATGGGTCATATTGAACACTTATGATTTTTTTGTCATTTTTTTTATCTTAGTGCATTATTATTATCAATATACATAATTAAAATTGTGTATTACTATGTATGAAGTTGATTTTTTAGAATTCTTCCTAACTTTATTCTGCTTATTGGTGGAAAATTGGGATGTCACATTAAAAACAACTGTAGATGTTCTACTTAGAATCCCATTGCAACGTCTGTGAATAAATAATAAATAATGTGATAGTTTAGTTGTTTGTTTTGAAGTTTTGCTAAAAATTCCACAGCTATCCTTGCAAGAAATTACATGATTTTAGGTGATTACATAAAAAGTAGTAGATAATCCTGATACTGTTCGAAAGAGAATAAAATTGTGTATCAGAATATAGAAAAACATACAGGGTGTTCCATTTAAAAAAAACGACATATGAAGGTTTGAAGTTAACTAAACTCGGCATTAAATTTCTAGCACCCTATATGCAATTAAGCCGCTTTGAAATTATGGATGGGAATTGGGAAGCTTAGGTGTCTAGCTATCCCCCCCCATAAATATTGTTGCTTTATCTTTCTTACTATAAAATACACATGGTTTGAAGCTAATCACCGTTTCTCCATTTTTTTTTGAAAAAAATGAAATATCTCGAAAACAGTTAATTTTAGGAATAGGGAATCTTCATAAAAGTCCACCTAAAATAACACAGAATCCAAAATTGCAATAATATATAGGGTGTTCCATTTAAAATAAGCAAGTTGATGGCGTAGTACGTGGATGCCATTATTTTAGTTGAGAAGGGCATGCCCGAAAATCCGGTATCCCAAATATTAAAAATTCAAATCGAAGTAGTCTCTGAAATAATTCTAATGGGCCGTCACCGTGAGGCACCCTGTATAATGAACTTCCACAATAAATACTTTTGGTCTGATGAAAACCCTTATGCCATAATGGAATCTCGATTTCAATATCAGTTTTGTTTGAATGTATGGGTGGGTATTATTGGAAATTTTCTTGTTGGGCCTTACTTTTTACCAAGGACTTTTACCGGTGCCTCCTACAGACAGTTTCTTGAAAATGTTTTATCTGAATTACTTGACAATGCTCCCTATGCGCTAACAGAAAGAATGTGATTTATGCAAGACGGGTTTGCCACACATTTTAGTTTGACTGCTTGTGAATTTTTAAATCAACTGATATAAAGCCTAATGATTTTTTTGTTTGAAGACCTCTCAAGACCTTAGTTTACAAGGTTCATATTGAATCTGAGGAGCACTTAGTTAACACATTTTAGCTGATAGTGATGTGATAAGAACTACTCCTGGAGTCTTTGTACGCGTTCAAGCTGCAATTTCAAGATCTGAAGCTTGTATTTTGGCTGGACATTTGTTATAGTAAATCATAGTAAAGTAATTCCATTGTTAATTATTTTGTTATTATTTTAAGTAATGTAACGAGTATCTTAAAAGTGTACTTGATCAAATAAATCAATTTTGTTAATCTGTTTGGAAGACAAAAAAGAAAAAAGTGTAAAGAAACAAAAAGTGAAGATAATACAATAGCGCATATGATCTATTTTATTTGTAATATTATACAGGGCGATATATTTTATTTTGGAAAATAATTGATAATACCCACACAATGGCTTTCCTAGGACCTCACATTTATATAACAAAAAAAACAACCTTATTTTTGGCCACAGAATTTGGCCTGGATTTTTGACCTCAACTTAAGAAACACCCTGTATTTATTTTCTGCAATAGATAAATGTTATACTTATGTATAACAAAAAAACATACCCAGAATATAAGTTGTGATTGGATAAGGAAAGAAAAAAGCTGTGTAGTTTTATGTAAAACTAATATTTAAACAGTAAAATTGGTAAAACAAAAATGTATTACACATAAATAAGCAAAGTAAACTAAAAAAATTGTCTTAAAAATCATATTATGTATAATATAATTAGGTACAATCATAACAATCTGTTGTTTTTTTCTGGTACATATAAACTATTTTTAAGAATTATCACCATAATCTCTATCACCCACATTGATTCGGTCCGGAGCAGAAGTTACGTTAAAGCCTAAAATTCGAGAGTCCACCTTCAACATTTTTGATTTCTTGTTCTTCTTATTTTTGCCCTAAAAAGTAAAAGACATAAAGGGTAAATTAATAAGACCATAACTAACAAATTCTAAGTGATATTAGCACAGCATATGTACAAATGTACGGTAAATACCGAGAAGCTGATGAGGATTCAAGTTCCAGAGTGTGTCAATTCTTTACCAAACTTCAAACCAGATTATCTCAAAACATACTATTCAAAGATGGTTCCCAAAATATTCGGAAAACAGCTAGATCGATTGCTTCCATTTGACACAATACAGTAAAACCTTGCCATTCGCAGCACGTTTGCTTTGTCGGTCACGGTCACGAATTTCAATCATAGGTGTACATATGCAAAAATTCGATATATAGGGTGATTCAGATTTAATCTGGATAACTTCAGGAATCGATATAACAGGTTAAAATAATGTTCATTCATGATATAAACTTATTTCCTAAATCGCACCGTTTCAGTGATAGAAGACGTTGAAGTAGGAATTTTTTTCCCATTTTTTTGTCATAACTTTTGAACGACTCATCCAATTGAAGTGAAATTCGAAACACAAACACTTCTTATGATCTTACATAAGCTCCTTAAGTTTCAATCACCTACCTATCTTAGAAGTGTATTTTGTGTGCTACCCCCTCTTAGAGTGTTCCAAAACTATTTCGGCACTGTAAAGAAATATTTAGTTAAAAAAACATGGCATTTAAAGCCTTAGTTTTAGTAGATAATGCCCCTGGGCATCCACAAACATTAGAAGTTGATACAAACATTGAGGTCATGTTTTTGCCCCCAAATACCACGTCCCTGTCTAGATCAAGGCATTATTGCAACATTTAAGGCTAACTACCTGACGTAATTTTTCTCATATTTTGCACCGTTTGGAAGAAAATCCAGAAATATTTGTTAAAGAATGCTGGAACCAATTTACTAGCCATCAGATTCAGAAAACAATGACAGACTTTTTCCAGAAGAAGCCTATCCCAGAATCTGTACCACCAAGGACACAAAATTAAGTTTGTAAGTGTTTAAGAAGGTTCAATACATCTCTTGCGGGGCAGGCGGTGCGGAGGGAAGCCTATGCTTATACACGGTAGTTCATTGTAGTACCAACCTTACATAAACTAATTTGAGGGAACTAAATAAAATATATACGAATGAAATTTATATAACACATATTAGTTTGCAAATATTTTTCGTGTTTAATGCACAGCAATTAAATTTTTATTTGAATAAAAGTGTTTATTTATTCATTAATAGCTTGTAAAATTATGGATGAAATCTGGCAACCTTGACATTGGCATGGCGTGGTGGTAAAAGTTGGGTCAACTGGCTCTAATCTAACAGTGTATGAAACGTTTTTAGATTCCTGGGGAGTCATTAATAAGCTGTATTCAGAGAATCTGTTCATCTTGGATGATTTTAATGTGCCTGAAATAAACGATATGCGCTATGACTGTGGCAACGGTTCTTACAAGGCCAAAATTATTCAAATAGTCCTATGTACATATGATCTGTATATTGTCAACAATGTACTAAATCGGGTAAACAACTTGCTCGACTTGGTGATGACTAATTTAACCGAGGCAAAAGTTTCTCACTCTAACACATCTCTCGTTGGAATTGACCAATATCACCCTCCTTTGGAGATTGTTATCACTTTTGATGTTGCTGCTGACAGATATAAAGGTGAATTAACTGACAATAATTATAAACAGAATTACAATTTTGGGAGGATTTGTTGGTATCTATTAATATTAATGTACCCGATATGAGAATGCGAACTAGATATAGACTTTTTAAAATATTTAATATTAATTCACTCCTAGAACAGTGTCTGTGTACGGTGAATAATTTGTTAAGAATATACGATATTGATATTTTTAATATTAGTCGGACTAAGCTACTCTCATACTTATGATACGTATACGATTGGGTGTTTTATGTACATTTTTAACTGACATTTTTTTGTTTTCTTTCTTTGTTCTCTTTTTACATTGTATTTTGCATGTGTCTGGTTGTTTATACATTATTTTTAACTTGTTTTTTATATTAGCTAACATTTCTCAACCGTATACATGTAATTGGAGTGTCCCTTTGTCTGTATGTATGCAGTATAAATAAATAAATAAATAAATAAATTACTGTCAACTGTGCTTTGCGCATATTCCGTAAACACGTATGAACATCCAAGATACAAAGGAAAAGTAATGACTGAAAAGTGAAAAGCAATATAAAATGTGTATGAAACAGAATGTGGATTGATGAGAAAAAAGTAAAATGTGCAAAACGAGAATCTATATGATAACTATCAAGAAGCTCAGTGTATGATAGTGAGACGTCGCCTTGTCAAATTGAAGATTATGACAGAATGTCTATACTGTGCGTTGTGCAAAGACAACCTTTCATTTTTTTTTTCAAATTGCTATTATATTACATTAGATCACGAAAAATTTATTTAATATTAATTATTACTACATATATTTTCAACTGGAATAATTTTATAGTCTATAATCGAGCTATTCAAATATAGCGTGTCAGTTGAAGCGTTAAATACAGCGTACAGTGTTGCCATATTTCCTTTCATTGGATCAGATGTTTGTTCAAATTTGTCAAAACGTTATATATTCATTCCATTATCTCAATAATTACATTGTAAGTGCATATTCTTATTGTTTTAAAATGTTTAGTAATNTGATGATAATGCTATTAACCTGTAGTTATTTGGATTGTTGTCTTGTTTATTTGGTTTGAGGAAAGGGATTATAGTATGTTTCTTCCAATCCGGAGGGATGTGTTCTCCTTCTAGGTATTTGTTAAATAAATTAAGTAATGTTAGTTTGACATTTATGGGGAGGTTGTTTAGCATAGAATATGAAATTTCGTCGACTCCCGTCGCAGTGTCCTTTTTATATTTTAAATTTGTTTCAAATTCGGCATATGTAAATTTGTTAATGTTTTCGTTGTTATCAATTATTTGGAACCCGGGATCAATCTGGCAGACAGTTAACTCGTTTAAAATTTCGTTCGCGATTTCAGTTGTTGGAAGTTTAGTATCATTATTGTTTGATAATGCATATGAGAATTTTTTTACCATAGACCATATTTCTGTCGTGCAAGTATTTCTATTTAGTTTTGAGCAAAATTCTCTAAATTTATTTTTTTTTTAATTTTAATTACTTTTTTTACTATCGCTATACTTTTTTGAACTGCTATATAATTGGTTACAGTCGGATTTTCTCTAAATTCCCTGATCGCTACTTTCCTACCCTTAACAATTTTTGCACATTCTTCATCCCACCACGGGGTTGATGGATACTTATTATTATTAAATTTGTTATTTTTTCTTGGAATGCACTCTTCCGCAGCGTTATTAATAATGTTATATAATTCGTTATAATTAATATTTTTATTGATAGAATCTGTTTTTTCTGTTATATGAAGATAGTATTTTTTCCAATCTGCTTTCTTGAAGTTTCTTTTTGGTGGACTGTTGTAATGATGTAGGATTTGTGCTTTATGAATTGTACACAAGATCGCGAAGTGGTCGCTTGATCCGCAGTCTGGTATCACACTCCAATTTGTTTTTATTGCGATTTGTGGTGAACATAATACTAAGTCTATTGCACTTACATTTGAACCGGGAGGGGTTAATCTAGTGGGAGACCCGTCATTCAACAGTATTAGGTTTAATGTTTCTAGAGTTGATTCTATTGTATTTCCATTAAAATCCTTTTTTTTTACTTCCCCACAATGGGTTATGTGAATTAAGGTCGCCCATAATGATTCTTGGGGAATTGTATGCATTTACAAATCTAGACCATGTTTCTATGTTGATTTTATTGCCTGAGGGGCTATAGATGTTAATTACTGTGATATTATTTATTTTTATTGCCATCGTTTGTGTATTTTCAGGAAGGAAAGGATGGTTTTCTGTTACCACTGTGAAATCTATATTTTTTTTTATTGCAAAGGCAACCCCTCCATACCCGTCTGTTCTATCCTTTCTGATTATTTTGTATTTTTTAATNATTACAATTTTATTTTCCCGATCCTAACCATTTTTAAGAGCAATATTCACGTTTGATTAAAGTTTTTTCCCAACTCGCATAAAAGCCTGTGTATAAGAGCATAATTTTTAATATAATTTTTAAAAAAAACTATATTGGCAATCGATCTGATATTTTTTACACGAGGCAGTTGGCTTGGCATATTTATTAACAGATTTCAATGATTTTGAAACTTTCTTACCATTTTTTTTTTCGGTATCAAACCTTAAGTGTTTTTGTTTCCGAAAACTCATTTGCCTTATGTTTTAAAATCAATTAAATGAGTGCTAACCTTAAAGAACTATGAAATTAAAAATATGTAGTGAACATATACGAGGGGGTATCCAAAAAAACCAAAATAACATTGCCGTGGACGGAGCTTGTGCGCCATTTCTGCCGCTAGGCGTGTATAGTGCAACTCATTGCCAGTTCGATGCCACCTGTGTTGTCGACCTGGCATGTTCTGTTCATCTGCAGTGATTGCTTTTGCTAGTGCTGTTTTGTTCTTGATTTATATTCGGTAAAAATGCTGCTGAAACTGTTTTAATGTTAACCCATTAGCGCCTAAAAGTACCATATGGAACCAATAAACGTCAAGATAAAAAGTGGGGTTTGAGAGCTATTTTTTGCTAGCTTTCGTAAATCTGCTTATTTGCACGTCTTCAGTATGATTTATGAAGCCCTTAGGAAAGTTCATGCGGTGCTTTGTTTACATTTGACATTTTTTTGTATCGAGTGAAAAACTTGATCGTACGAGTTTGTTGAAAACATTACAACTTCGTGTAAGTATAATAATTATTAGATATTTTATTATATTATTGCTTCTAGTGTTTTATTATACTATTATATCTAAAAACATATTCCTATTCGAGAATAATTTAATTGATTATTTGTTTATGTATAATATTGTTGTAAACATTGATGTTCCCATATGGACCCGTTAGGCAGTAGCTCGGTTGAACTGATATCTAGCTGTAAATCCTCTTTTAGTGGAATTACCCTTCAGGAAGCCTTGGATATTGCTTGTGATAATGAAAATGTTGGTGATATATATATTGAGCCCCCAGAGAGCAATGAGCTCACTGACCAAGATTCAGCAGATGAGATGAAGGCGGTTTAGTTGATGACAATCTAACTGCTAGACAACTTTCCGCTAGAGCAGAAATTGTTTATTCGAATAACGACAGATAGGAACTGATTATGATAATATGGAGGAGTCAGTTGAAGTGCCATGTGCTTTAGAGCCGAGCCCTAGTATCTGTACATCCACTTTAGTATTGACTGCAAAACCTGTCACAACCGATTTTATCAAAGGAGACTTGCAAGAGGCATACCGTAAATTTTCAACAGAAGATCATTCAAATTACAACACAATGAGCTGTGTTGAACTATTTGAATTATTTTTTTCCTATGAGATATTACAAAATATAACAGAAACTAAAAAGTATGCATTACAAAAAAATTCTGACCCACAAATAACCACTGAAGAACTAAGAGTATTTTTAGGAATTCTTATTTTGAGTGGTATAAATAAACATGTTGCCGTCAAAAAGACATTATTGGGAGAATTCTCACAATCTGAAAAACCCAATGATATCGGATGCTATGAGACGTGATAGGTTCCTACAGTGGCGGTGAAAACTGTAGCAGCCGAGGAAGAATAATATGCTGCAAATGTAATATCGGCTTATGTGTTGACTGTTTTCGAAAGCTTCATACTCGGTAATAATATTTACTCATTATTTTAAGGTTTCGTTAAAAGAACAAGTTGCTTTTTACTTTTTTCATTGTTGCGCATTTCTAGTGACGTCGCGCCTAAAGGTCCCATATGGGAACACCTCGTTTTTCGGTTAATTTAGAGAAAAAATATTTTAAGTTGACTAAATATGTTAAATAAAGATATTTACTACTTATTTGTATTAAAAATTTGCATAATTTTTTGATTTTTTTTTTATCGGCGTTAATGCTTACCAAGATTTTACCAGTTTTTGGCTAAAAATGGCATGGTTCCGCTGCCCCATGCACCTTACTCGCCTGACCTGACTCCGTGCAACTTTTTCTTCCACGCATGAAAGAAACAAGGGAGTAGCTGTCAGTTATTTCTAAAGATGACTACAAAAAATGTTTCGAACAGTGGAAGCACCGGTGGAACAAATGTATTAGTTGTAATGGAGAGTATTTTGAAGGGGATAAGGTTGTTTTGTAAACAATTTGAAAATATATAGCTTTTAAATAATAATTCCATTTTTTTTTTGGGTATCCCCTCGTATGTAGTTTGCACAATGTATTCCTGCTTGAAGGACATTTAATTAAAACAGAAGGTTTTTTTTCAATTTCAAATGCACACAGAAACAAACAAATCTAGTATCTTTGATTTTATTTCGGAATATATGTAAACATAACTGAATTATGTTTCCGATATTTAATTCTGTTTTAAAAACTAACATAATGACTTATCCATCATGGATTTGCGTTTCATGGGAACCTTCTGGAAACTATCCCCCGCGAACGGCAACGTTTTACTGTATTTATAAAGAAATTTTTCAGCATATTTCAACATGTATACTTTTGTATGAAACAAACCTGGATAAAATCGAACAGACAGTTTTTGAGATAATAATTCCTAAAATTCACCAATTTTTTCTGCTCAGTAGACACTCAGATGTACCTTCTTAAGATAAATTAGATATATGATATATTATTTAATAAAATAAGAATAAATTATGTGTCTTTGTTTTTGCTGTTAATAAAAAATCAGTGGTTCAAATTTAAAAACTACATCACATTGATGTACTAATTTGATAGCTTTGGAAAATGTTCCACACTTGAAATTTAAAAATTAAAAAAAAATCATCCTAAGTGTAAATGACAAACTAGGAATGAACTGTTATTAACGCTAAACTTGCAAAATTAAGCTTACCTTGACCTCTTGGAATTCAGTACTGTGTTGTAAGGAAGGGGTAATAGCAGGAGCCGGAGAACACATATCATCTTTATGAGCATTATTCTTAGGTTTAAAGGAACGTCTCTTCTCTAAAAAGTTAGTGGCAAACTGCTGCGTTGCTGTACTCTCACCTAAATACTCCTTGCAATACTCTCTGACATCTAATGCCGATTCTATGTCTCGTAAGAAAGTTACAAAAGTTGGAACTGCAAAAATAAATTTCATGTCAATTTTTACCTAAGACGTTTTTTATGTTTACTTACTATCTACACTAGTTGTTATATTAGATAAAGTCTTATAGCACCAATTGGTAAATTCATCTGAAGATGGAGCATTGTTGTTGTTGTTGTGATTGGTCTTAGACGACTCTTCTTTCTTTGTTTTATTCTTAGTTTGCTGCTTCTGAGCCGGCTGTTGCTGTTTATGAGTAGCATTGACTGAATTTGTAGAATTACTTTTAGATACTGTGGACGGTTTACTCGCTGTTTGTTTGTGAGAGGAATCATCCCAAAATCCCCCTGAAATAAAACAAAGAATAAAAAATGGAAAGGAAATAAATCATACAAAGTAATTATAATTATAAGCATATATTTACAGTCTTTTATATGATGGCACAGTCTGTTTGCTACTATTATTTTTGTCACAAACAAAATCTCTATTGATTGGAATTTAATACACTTTGAAGTAATAAAAATTTAACATTTATTAAAAAAAAAACAGCATAATCTACCTTTCCAGTAACATAACCTCGAATATGTTACAAAATCGCGATTTTGGCTCTTTTAGGTTACATCTCGAAAACCAGAGCCAATTGAGAAAGGACCTAGGATTCGAATTGGCGCATCAAAATGGGTTAAAATTTTGTCGGCCTGTGTTATTTTAATACTTAAATATTATCACATATTACTTAACTAGTACTGAGTGTTACTCAAATATTATTCAAGGTTTTACACCAAATTACTCCTGCAGTTTCCTACACTAAATATTAGACTATTGAAATATCTTACAGAACCGTTTCTAAGAAAAAATAAGTTTCATGTTTTGCCACACCTATAAACTGGACAAATTTTAATGCTTACAATTGCATAGAACATAATGTTATTTTATGTTTAATTTATCCTTTGTTTATATTGCGAAGATAAAAAAAAAAATTTAAACTTTTTAGTAGAAACTTTTACAACCTTCCTAAATGCACCCGTCTATATACCAACCATAGTACATAATTCAACTGAACTTGAAATGATTTTAAATAATATTTCATATTGGTATTTTTATTAATTTTTTATTATTTGTTTTTTAAAAACAGCAAAAACAATTATTTTAAACATTAGTTTTACTTGTAATTCGTAACATATTTACGCACCGATATTACTTAATATTTAAAAACTAAATTTTAAATTTTAATTTTTAAAAGCAACAAAACTCTTAAAAATTCTTGGGGCTTCGTCTACGTTGACATCAAAAAAAAATATACATGGTGTCCCGCCAGGAACATGGCAATGTTCCTGGGTCAAACACAACTAAAATATCCAGAACTCTCCAGCACTTCCGTATATACCGGAAGTCAATACCAACTTCGTTACTTTAAATGGGACACCCTATATATTATTGCATTTTCGGATTCAACATGAAATTTGAGGGTCAGTTTATTAAATATTCCCTACACCTAGAAATTACAGATTTTTAGATATTAATTTTTAAAGAAAAAATTTGACAGATGCAAGGGTCCGTGGAGATGCTAGTAATTCTTGTCAGGAGCGTGATGTCAAGTGGATTTTTGATACCTGTAAAGGACATAAGTAACACTACATTTTGGTATACGAACAAATTAAAACATTTAATACTAGGTGTTTCTTTTTTGCTGTTCTATTTTGATAACTTCAAACAGCTACAATTTTGTTAACTTAAATGGAACATCCTGTATTTTTTTATTGTCGTATGCAGAATTTCCTTTCAAACCGTATAAGCATTGTTAGGGTTGCCATTACTACTTTTAGAGATGTTTGCAATTTTCTACTTTTTGGTCAGTTTTTCTCGTAGCAGACCTGTTGTCAAATTGGCCATGACCAAAAATACTCTTCTTCTTCTTCTTCTTCTTCTCAATTGATGGCCTAACATTTATATGTATTTGGCCAGGTTCACACTTTATTCTATAACACATTCTCGGAGGATATACCGGGTGGTATGTCTGGGAGTTCCCATGTCCTCGGAGATTTAACTTTCTTCAGATTTGTGTTCGGATTTTCGCCGAAAGGGGTTAGTAAGACAGATAGCACAACAAAGGAAAGACTCTTCTCGCTCCGGGGCAACTGCGGAGCATTACACACCTGAAATGTTGCCTCGGTTTAAGAATCCCAGGATATGAATAGAGGGGTTTTGTATTTTTTGTCCTACCTGTGTATATAAATATACATATATACACATATATATTTTTTTGCCTGTATTTTTTATTTTCAATTTTGTTATTAATATATTCTGTTTTGTTATATTCACATATCCTTGTATGCCTTTGTGTACACAGTGACCCATTCATATGTTGTTTTTTTATTTGTTATTGTTTTTATTTTTATTTATTTATTATTATTTTATTTTATTTTTTTAACTTAATTCAAATATTCCATTATTCTTTATAAATTTATTTGATTGGTATTTAAAAAATTCATTAGAATTATTGATCCTTCTACAGTCAAATTCATCATTATTAGTTTTACATTAATCGGGGTTGGTGTATTACACGCTTGGGCAATTAGATAATATATGTCAATATTTGGAATTTTGTTAATTTCACATTCAAAAATGATATGATCTAAATCACCTATTTGGCCACATTCACATTCTGGGCTATCATTAACACCAATTTTGAATTTATGTGCTTCGGTGAGACAATGACCAGTACGCATACGTATCATTGTAGAACAGTGATTTCTGTTAAAGTATGGGAATGATTGAAACCACGGTTTTTTGGGGAACCTATACTGTACCCCCGAGTACCATTTACCTTTATTTTTCAACTCGTTTTCCCAAAAATGATGCCATTTATTATTAAGGAATGTTTTGCATGCAATCAAAATGTCATTTTTATCTAGTGGAATGTTGTTGGTGACTGCAAAATGTTTCCCTAAGTTTGCTAGCCAATCTGCATTTTCATTACCTAGAATATTAGTATGTCCCGGAATCCATGCTAATTCAATACATGTTCCATTATTATTAGAATTAATGATCATTTCTTTTGTTAGAATCGTGATATAATCTTTTCTTTTATAATTTTTGTAAGAAGTTATTTTTTCCAAGGCGCCCTGAGAATCGGAGAAAATTACCGCTTTTTTGATATTGTTTATCAGGCAGTAACTACAAGCTTTATTTATCGCAACGATTTCTGCTGTGCATATTTGTGTAAATTTGGGGAGGCTATCATGATAGGAGTAATTAGTTTGTGGTATGAATACACCCACACCCACTTTTTCTTCGACAGGATCTAGAGATCCATCTGTGAAAATTTGACAATAATCCGAATATGATTGTTCTATTAGGTATTTGAATTCGTTATTGTTATCTACACCCTTTTTTAGTTTTAAATTCTTGTAATCTAAAGTATGCATTTGATGATCGTATTCATATACAAAAAATGGTATATTATCTAATTTTTTAATCTGTTTAAAGTATTGTGAAAAATCCCTGTATGTTTTAATTATTATTGGTTCCTCTCTGTTTTTCCAATAATTAACTTTTAATGTACAATATTCATGAAGGTCTTCAATTATATTTTGGATAGGATGATCTATTATTGAATAAACCTTTGTTAAATATTTAATTGTTAACCATATTTTTCTGTAATCAATTGACATTTCTGCGCATTCTGCTAGTAAAGCTGTTCTCGGGGTTGATCTCATACATCCTGTTATTATTCTTAGGGCTTGGTATTGTATTTTTTTCATTTTGTTGTTATTACTTTTGCTTAGGGGACTGATTGCTTGGCATCCGTAATCTAAATGAGTTCTAATTAGACTTTTATATATATTATGCAAAGTGTTAGGGTCTGCGCCCCACCAGGTACCACATAATGCACGCATGATATTCATATTTTTTTTAATTTTATCTATAATATACGTTGTATGTTTATTAAAATTTAAATTATGATCCAATATTATCCCTAAGTATTTTACCTCCTTTGTCCATGTGATGTTGTTATTATTATATTTTGTATTGCCTGTTATTTTTTTGGAATTTCCTTTTCTAAATATAACGGCTTGAGTTTTGTTGCTAGAAATCGTGAGATTATGTTTTTCAAACCAAACCTGGAGTTGACTTAGAGCTTTGTTAATTTGTTCAATTAAATTTTCTATCTGGTACCCACTGCATAAAATAACAATGTCATCTGCATAAGATATGATTTTAATATTTGAGGGTAGTTTTTCCTGAATATCATGAATGTAAATATTAAATAATAAAGGGCTTATCGGAGACCCTTGCGCTAAACCAATGTTAGTAACATTATTTCCTATTAGGTTTCCATTTTTATCTTTAATTTGAATAATTCGATTTGAGATGAGATTCATTACGCAATTACACAAGTATGTGGGAATGCCAATTGTTATTAATTTTTTATATAATTTGTAAATATTAACATTGTCGTATGCTGCTTTTATGTCTAGGAATACCCCTACCGTAAACATATTTCTGCTAAACCCTAATTGGATGTATGTTGTTATATAACTTATATTATCAACTACGCTCTTTCCTGATCTGAAACCGCTTTGTAGATCCCCGAAAATGTTGTTATTTTCAACAAACCATTCTATCCTATTTTTTATTAGGCTTTCCCATATTTTGCAAACACATGATGATAATGCTATTAACCTGTAGTTATTTGGATTGTTGTCTTGTTTATTTGGTTTGAGGAAAGGGATTATAGTATGTTTCTTCCAATCCGGAGGGATGTGTTCTCCTTCTAGGTATTTGTTAAATAAATTAAGTAATGTTAGTTTGACATTTATGGGGAGGTTGTTTAGCATAGAATATGAAATTTCGTCGACTCCCGTCGCAGTGTCCTTTTTATATTTTAAATTTGTTTCAAATTCGGCATATGTAAATTTGTTAATGTTTTCGTTGTTATCAATTATTTGGAACCCGGGATCAATCTGGCAGACAGTTAACTCGTTTAAAATTTCGTTCGCGATTTCAGTTGTTGGAAGTTTAGTATCATTATTGTTTGATAATGCATATGAGAATTTTTTTACCATAGACCATATTTCTGTCGTGCAAGTATTTCTATTTAGTTTTGAGCAAAATTCTCTAAATTTATTTTTTTTTTTAATTTTAATTACTTTTTTTACTATCGCTATACTTTTTTGAACTGCTATATAATTGGTTACAGTCGGATTTTCTCTAAATTCCCTGATCGCTACTTTCCTACCCTTAACAATTTTTGCACATTCTTCATCCCACCACGGGGTTGATGGATACTTATTATTATTAAATTTGTTATTTTTTCTTGGAATGCACTCTTCCGCAGCGTTATTAATAATGTTATATAATTCGTTATAATTAATATTTTTATTGATAGAATCTGTTTTTTCTGTTATATGAAGATAGTATTTTTTCCAATCTGCTTTCTTGAAGTTTCTTTTTGGTGGACTGTTGTAATGATGTAGGATTTGTGCTTTATGAATTGTACACAAGATCGGGAAGTGATCGCTTGATCCGCAGTCTGGTATCACACTCCAATTTGTTTTTATTGCGATTTGTGGTGAACATAATACTAAGTCTATTGCACTTACATTTGAACCGGGAGGGGTTAATCTAGTGGGAGACCCGTCATTCATCAATATTAGGTTTAAGGTTTCTAGAGTTGATTCTATTGTATTTCCATTAAAATCTTTTTTTTTACTTCCCCACAATGGGTTATGTGAATTAAGGTCGCCCATAATGATTCTTGGGGAATTGTATGTATTTACAAATCTAGACCATGTTGCTATGTTAATTTTATTGCCTGAGGGGCTATAGATGTTAATTACTGTGATATTATTTATTTTTATTGCCATCGTTTGTGTATTTTCAGGAAGGAAAGGATGGTTTTCTGTTACCACTGTGAAATCTATATTTTTTTTTATTGCAAAGGCAACCCCTCCATACCCGTCTGTTCTATCCTTTCTGATTATTTTGTATTTTTTAATGTGAAAGCTTTGATTTGATTTTAGCCAAGTTTCATTTAAAGCGATAACATCTGGCTCATATTCATTTATCAATAAAATTAAATTGTGTTTATTTGCGTTTATGCTTCTAATATTCCAGCTAATAATTTTTAAATCTACTTTATTATTATTTTTATTATACATTTTTTATTATTTGTTTTTGTTTGTTATTTAATAAAATGGGTCTGTTGAGCACCCTGGTTTGTCCCTGTCCACATATGTGGTATTTCGTTTGCAAATATGTTCTACAAAGCCTATCACTTGTTTTATTTGTTCCTCACTCATGTTACTAATCAGTTCTGCTATCATATTTTCTTGATTTATGCTATCGGTGGGTGTGTTTACGATTATTGGAGAATTACTGTAACTATTACTCCTTCCCGAAGGAGTTACTAGACACTGATTGTGTGCTACTTTATCAAATCCTGGTGTATCATTGGATTTTCTTTTTTTTGGATTTTGTGTAACCTGACTATATGATCTTAAATTTTTACTTTTATTATCAATCTCATCTAAACATACTATGCCCGAATTTTTACTTAAAACTGGGAAGTCCCGTGGATGTACATAATTTGTTTGTCTTTGATATGTTTTTGGAATTTTTTTGTTTGCATCAAAGAAGGATATATTTTCCATTGCCATTTTTTCTCTTATAGCTAACTGTCTAATGTATTCCGGACAATTTTTATCTGTTGAATTGTGATTCGTACTGGCGCAATTGAGACATCTCATATTTTCTACACAAGAGCCCTCATGAGTGTTTGTGCAAATGTTGCATTTTTTTTTCCCTTTGCATTGTTTAAGAATGTGTCCAAATCTGAAACAGTTATAGCACTGGATTACGGGTAACTTGTAAGTTGTTACTGGCATTGTCAGAAAACAAATATCTACAGTTCTTGGTAATAATTTACCAGAAAATGTGTATAGTATTGTACTCGTGGGCACATATACAGTCTCCCCGTTTTCATTAATTGTTCGTCTGTTCATTCTTTTTATATCAATAATTTTATGATTATTTGTTTTTGAGAATTTGTATAGGTCATCTATTGTGAAATTTTTATCTACATATTTTACAATTCCCTTGCAAGATACAAGGTTTGAAGGAATAAACATATTATATCCTTTTTCTAGTAATGTATTATTCTCTAAGAAATTATTTGCTGCTTTATAGTTTTTAAATTCTACACTTAATCTATTCCTGCCCTTTTTTTCAAATTTTTTTATATGTTCAAGGTTAAGTTCAAATATTTCTCTAGCTATGCTTAGATGATTTAGATTTCCTAAGTTTTTTTCCAATGTCTCATTAGCTTGAATATACACTATATAAGGACCACAATCATTTGTCTGATATTTGAATTTCTTTTTATTTTCAATAACGGGATGATTATTGGGGGGCGAAGGCCCCCCAGATTCTGAGTTCATTTTTGTATTTTAACTTTATGAATTAGTCAATATATGTATTTTATTAATGAAATTGATGCTTTAATTAAATTATTGTATATTCTGTAATTAAGGATATCTTACCAAAGGGGATGTTGAACACAAATAGGTTAGTAAATATGTATCGGCACCGGCTTATCGCTTAGTCGACCACACTCGTTCAATGCTCACACCGAACTTGACCAAAAATACTCCAATAACAATTGAAATAACCTGACATTTGTCAAGTTAGTTGTCAAATTATTGTTACGTATGTAGTAGTTTTTGCTGAAAATTTAAATAACATTTTCAACAAAAACTATTTAGACACAATAATTTGACAACTAACTTGACAAACATCAAGTTATTTCAATTGTTTTTGGAGTGTTTCTGCTCATGGCCAATTTGACAACAGGTTTGATATGAGAAAAACTGTCCAAAAAGTAGAAAATTGCAAACATCTCTAAAAGTAGTAACGGCAACCCTAACAATGCTTATATGGCTTGAAAGGAAATTTCAACCTGCATACGACAGAGTAAAAAAATACAGGGTGTTCCATTTAAATTAACAAAGTTATAGCCGTTTAAAGTTATTAAAATGTAATGGCAAAAATGAAACACCTAGTATTAATGTTTTAATTTGTTGATATACCATAATTTAGTGTTACCTATGCCCTTTACAGGTACCGAAAATCCACTTGATATCACGCTCCTGAAAAGAGTTACTAGCATCTCCGCAGACCCTTGTATCTGTCAAATTTTTTTTTAAATGTTAATATCTCAAATTCTATAACTCCTAGGTATACGGAATATTTAATAAATTGATACTCAAATTTCACGTAGAATCCTAAAATGCAGTAATACTTATATAGGGTGTCCCATTTAAAATAACGAAGTTGGTATCGACTTCCGGTATAACCAGAAATGCTGGAAAGTTCTAGATATTTTAGTTGTTTGTCCTAGGGATATTGCCATGCTGTCAAATTTTCAAATTTTTCGGAGCTGTACTTTTCTAGATATCGATTGACGAAGTTCCCAGTGGGACACCCTGTATTGGTGACTTTGAAATAATACGTTGCTAAGTCATGCAATATAAGGGGACCACCTAGCTGAGTGTCTTGGGCGGTGGATTTCGATCTGCCGAGGTAAGCATCACGGACACAGGCTGAAATTAGGATGGGTGACCTATGGCAGGCTCAGAGACGTGGCTGTGGCAGCCTACCAGAGACCTGGGTCGCTCAACATTTTCCGCGTGCGTGTGGTCCCCGATAAATAGTAATGAGACCAGAGCAAAAAAAGTCTGTGTAACTCAAGACCATGCCATCATACATAAACTGTACGAGACTTTGCCACCAAGCCACCCATGTAGTAAATAGGATGGTTTAAACAAAAGTACTCGAGTAATGAAGGAGGGTGTACAAGGGGGTAATAAGGCCACCTTCATACACGCACCCACGCATACACGCACCCACGCACACACGCACACACCCACCCACGCACGCACCCACACACACACACGCACACGCACACGCCCACGCCCACACACACACACACACACACGTTAAGTATTATTTTAACTGCTTGATTTTGAGTTTGCGCGATACATCGTGAAAATGTGCATGTTACTGTTGCTGAATTACACCAGATAGAAATGAAGACGGCTGACATCGTTCAAATGGCCGATTTCAAGAGTACAACCGTCTGCGATGCTGTGAAACGTTTCAAAGAGACAGGAGGGACTGCACATAATTTTTTGGCCTAGGTGATGATCTGGACCAGGAACGTTAAAAGTAACTCTGCCTAAAACGAAAAACAGGTTCTTCGGAAGACTCTGAAACCGTGGGCGACATGGCACTTTGGTACGGACGGATTCACGTTGCAGTAGGATTTATTTCTGGAATGTGTTGATTTGTTGAATAATACGATAGTTATAGCCTTTTGAAATATCTAAAATAATTGCGGGAACTTTTCACCCACCGTGTGTATTCATATGCAGCAGCGAAAGGGTTAACCAAAATTAGAATTAAATGTCTTTGACCGTATGTCAACACTATTTTCATTATTTTCATTTCTGTTACTGTTCCAAACTTACCACTGTTATTTAAAGATGACCACTGCAAATTAGTGGCAGACGCACTTGCCCATGTCAAACTCTGGCTATTCCAAATACTGCTTGCATTATTTATAACTGGCGGTGCTTCCTTTTCTTTCTGCAGACGGCTTTCGGCAGCTTGCTATAAAATAAAATAAACCGTTCAAAACACCTACATACATTTATAATATCCACTTATAATTTCACTAATGTCATAAACTATTAAATATTAAAAAAAATTAATTTTCCACAAAAACATTGCCTGTTTCAAAATATCTCCACAACCCACACTGATTGTATTGGTCTGCGAATGCTGCTAATAGAATGGTATAAAACTTCACCATATCTATTAACAAGGAGAAGGTAAGGTAGTTGGATTTTTGTAATTTTTTATATTTATGGTACGTGTAGTTTGGACCTTGAATAAGAATTTTCCGAAGTAGTTCGATGCAAAGTTCATAAATTACCGAGATAATCAATTTTGAAGTTTTACCTGACAGCTAAATCCACTAGATGTGACACATTCTTCAACTGCGAGCATTGTTTTTTTTTAAAGAAACTATTGTTAATTCATAATAAATACTGTTTATCAATCAATTGTGCATTTTAATGAAATATTTGAAGAATATTCCTACATATACATAAGTATTTATTATAATATTTCGTTTGTTCATAATTTTCGAGATGAAAAAAATAATAAAAAACCATATGGAGCGTTTTGAAAAAAAAAAAAAAAAAATGTCACGTGACGGACTCGAACCAGCGATCTCGTGACTGTCAGTCCCGAATGCTACCAATTAGGCCATGCTCCCAGTTGAAGAATGTGTCACATCTAGTGGATTTACCTGTCAGGTAAAACTTCAAAATCAATTGTCTCGGTAATTTATGAACATTGCGTCAAACTACTTTGGAAAATTCTTATTCATGGTCCAAACTACACGTACCATAAATATCAAAAATTACAAAAATCCAACTACCTTACCTTCTCCTTGTAAGTTTATGAGATTTTAATATATCCATCACACTATACGGCACAAAATATTGTGGTCAAAATACGAGGCTTTAAAAAAGTTTTTCTTTTGAGATATGTGGGGGTCTACTACAGTTTTTTAAATTATTTTCATATTATACAGGGTGTCCTAAAAGTATCAGTTGTTTTTTTTTTAAATGAATTAATTTAAATAGAACGCCATATTTTTTAACTTACCAAAAAATGTTTTAATTACAAATCGTATTAGGGTGCTCATAGCTAGGTTTTTGCGTTTTTACAGAATACGCCAAATAATCGTTCTTTGCACCATTTCGTGTATTTTACATAAAAATTCCGATATATCTGTGGTATTTAACAATGTCGTATACTTTATTTATCTATTAGTTTAATCTGCAAAGTCTGTTTTTGCTAGAGTGGTATTATTTTCTGTAGTTGTGGATGTTTAGATCGTTATTGTTTGACACACGATTTGTGAAATTGGTTAGTCAAAATGAAGATTTACCTAAAAGAGGAGCCTGTTGATATGATTCTTATCCTAGGAAAATGTTATAAGAATTGTTTATTGGTTTCTCGAGTTTATGCTCAAAGGATTCCCGAAAGAAATCATCCTAACCGAGCCGTTTTTGAGAGATTGATTACACCTGTATTAGGAAAGTGGAAGTGTCAGTTACAAAAAACCCATTACAAGAAAAACAGTCACTGAAGACAAAGAAAATATTTTGACGGTACTTGGTTCAGTTCGAAAATCCCAGTATTAGTCAAAATCATATATCCAAAAATAATAACCTTAGTGAAGCAAGAATTGAATTCCAAGAATTCACAAAAAATACAGATTCCATTTTTATAAAGTCCAGCTTTGCCAAGAACTTTATGGAAATTATTTTCACAACCGAACTGAATTTTGCTAGTGGGTGTTAGATATAGTGACAGGAAAAGTAAACTTTTTTGATAAAGTGTTATTTAGTGATGAATGCACTTTTCATAAAAATGGTCTCGTGAATAGACAACTTTCACTACTATTCAGATTCGAATCCGCATCAATACATATACATACATATTTAATTGAAACCTATTTTTTGAAGGAACTTTAAATCGTATGAAGGTTCTTACACCAACTTCCAGTATTATTAGAAGAAGTCAGTGGCGGCGCATGAACATTGATTGAATGTGTTCTGCTTAAGGTTGTTACATTTGTTGAATTGAATTCCGGGATATTAAGTGCCCGGAGTCTCCAAATGGCGCCGCAGGCGAAAAATTTTAAAATTTTCAAGGTCACGCGTTTTCCTAGCACTTCTGAATTACAAGGAGCAATCCATTTATACAAAAATACAGATTTTCATAAGAACGATTTTTGAAATTGGTACCTTTTTGAAATATCTACTCATGAATTACCTACTGACGATATAAATAAATTGGAATAAACTAAATACATATATTTTATTAAATTATTGAATATTGCTCATAAACAAAAAAATCGTTTGTGAAGTTAACCAACGATTCAACGAATTTTAATTTTCCTCTCCGTGTTATGATTTTTTCTTTATCTTTTTTTATATATATGTAATTACATATATTCCGGGAGATTATACGTGCAAATCCGAAATCCGGGGACCGTACAGCTAATTCCCGGTACAATCACAGAAAATCCCAGTCATACCCATGTGGCTAGATGTTCTTTTAATATGTCGTCAAGATCTGCACTAAAATTTATGAGTCCACGAAACACATCAGGGTTGTCCCAATTTTCTGTCTCGTCGTGTCCGCGAAGTGCTAATTCGAAAGCTCCGCAAAGTTTTTTGCAATCTATGATTTTAGATAATACATAACGATTTTTCGTTACCTGTTCATTGTGTTTCCGTATATTATCCCAATATGCATAATCTAACTGACTTCTTATGTTTATTTTACCTAATGACTTAAATGACTTAAATCTTTCACACTGTATATTGTCCATGCTTTATCCCCATCGAAAAGTAAGTACGGAAAACAAAACAGTGTATTTTTGATATCACACCTGCACACCCACTCTGTTTTTGTGTATACATTATTGTTAAATTGTCTTTTATAACTTTTACTTCGGTTTGTTCCACTAACTTTAATTATTTAATTGTGGTGTTGGCCCACCTAATTCTTTTATTTTTAGTTTATCCTCATAAGGCAGAGAAATAAATAAAGTTTTTTGTAAAAACGAAACGCTATTCATTTTAATAACTATAATATCCGTAGACCCCTAACCTAAATGAAAACATTCACAAGTGCCGCTAGCAGAAATAAACCACCACATACCACAAACGAAATATTACTGCATTTACTGCAGCCATAGAAGATAAAACAACTTATCTTCTGTGCTGCAGCTGTGGCTGTCGTTGTTACAGCCACATAACTTCATATACGCATGTACTGTCGTAATAAATAATAATATAAGCTCCCAGGTTTATTTTAGCACGAGTACATTTGAATTCTTTAAATATTTTGTTGATACTTAATATGATTAAATACATAAAATTTTATGTGTTCTGCAGCTCCGCAGCTCTTATGGTAAAACCGCCACTGGAAGAAGTCCCTTTAAACGTTAGAACAACCATGTGGTTTCAATTGGATGGAGCTCCGCCTCATTATCATTGCGAGGTTCGACAATTTTTAAATGCCAACTTTCCATACAAGTGGATAGGAAGAAATGGATTTCAAAATTGGCCCCCAGATCCCCGTACTTAACTCCACCAGATTTCTCTTTATGGGGATACATAAGAGAAATTGTCTACAATACGCCTCTGACAAATCCACAAGATATGAAAATATGCATAAGAGATGCTTTTAAAACTGTAACTTTGCAAATGTTGTCCAGAGTTAGCAGTGGTATTGAAAAAACAATTCAAGTGTTCGGAAATGGATGGTCGACATTTGAAACATGTTTTTAATATTTTGCTTGTTTTATGTTACCGTTGATGTTATTTAGAAATTTTATGTAAAATACACGAAATGGTGCAAAAAACGATTATTTGGCGTATTCTGTAAAAACGCGAAGACTTGGCTATAAACACCCTAATACCATTCGATAGGTAATTAAAAATTACATTTTCTGGTAAGTTAAAAAATATGGTGTTCTATTTAAATTGATCGAGTTATAGTCACTTAAAAGTTCTTATTTGATATTTGATTAATTTTAATTGTTGGACATCCTGCATAAAATGACAAGTTTATTGTGATTGGCATATAAGATATAATCTCTTGTTACACTTCACTGTAAATTTCGCTTACATACCTGATATACCTACTTATTAAGTATTTGAAACAAGAAAATTAGGTTACATTTTGATAAAATTCAAATTATTTAAAAGACCTTAAAGTTTAGATATTATAAACCATATTAAAACAGACACTTATTTTGATCGGAGAATCCAAAAATGCAATAATATATATGTAAAAAAACACAACTTTGATACTTTTAGGATATTTTGGACACCCTGCATAATAAATATGAAAATAATTTAAAAAAGTAACCGTAATAACCTCCATATATCCCAAAAGATAAACTTTTTGAAAGCCTCGTATTTTGGCCATAATATTCCGTGACGTACAGCATGAATAACCCTGTATATTGTAGCAAATTACAGTAAGAAAAATTACTTTTGCCAATCGCTCCTGTTCCTCAGCCTGAATCTCTGCTAAAGACTTAACCTTCCTTGGCTCAACAGGTTTCCTTGCCCAACTAAGCTGTATACCTGTCGGTTTTTCTTGCTGTTGCTGTTGCTGCTGTTGAGTTTCCTTCTCCTGAAATGGTAGTTGGTAATTATCGATATGGAATCTTTAAACTAGGAAAAATAAAAATACCTGCAGACGTTGCATTTGTAAAGCTGTTTCCTGAGCTCTCTTTTCTCTTTCGGATTTCTGAATGTCGGCAAGACTCATACCAAGAGTTGAACTGGACTGAGACCAAGGAGCTGCCTTGGCGGTACGAATTTGTTCTTGCTGTATTCTTCGTTCCTCGGCTTGCTTCCTCGCTTCCAGCTCTTTTGCTTCTTTCCTGTTTTTTAAATATATATATATTTTTATTGGTAAAATATTACGAAATTGAAATATACAAGGTATAAACCTAGTAGTCAATGACTGCAAATATTAAAAAAATAATAATAAAATCAAGAAATATATCATATGGTAGCCTACATTTTAAACATACTATTTACATTTTTACTGTTTACTATAGTATAGTGTTTTAGATTGGAATGCATGCACAAACTTACATTAAAGTTACAATTCAGTTATTAATCGAGATACGAAAGAAATGTTCTTATGAAGTTGGAGGGGATCAAAAACGCTGGATTTTAATAATAAAGCATGGCCACCAAGAATGTTTTTTTTTTTTAGCTGGACACTACATATATTTTTTAAGCTTGATTACACTGTAAAATTTGTCAAATGATGATGTTATAGTTATGTATTCGGTTGCGGTATTGCACATTATTTAGAATACTCTTTAAATTTTGTGGAAAATATGATCTATTTAATAATTTTCAAATGGTAATAATTTGAATCAAAATATCAGGGTCCAACTCCAGATCTATAAGCTATTCATTATGGTGTGTACTATAGACAAATTTCAAACGACATTTTTTCTGACTTTTCAAAACTTGTTTAATAGTCTCATTTTTTTACTTTAATTAGTAAAACCAGCAACACAAATTTCTTCGATATACTTAAAATATCTTCAGGGCTATTTAAAAATATGTCATTTTTTTAATTCAATCTCAGCATATTAGTAAATAAATAATTAGAAATAGAGGAATTTAAACTTGTATAACAAATATGAAATCTGATAACAAAATGAAAAATACCTTAATTTCTCCTCTTCCAGCTTCTTGTTCTCTTCAATTTTTTTTCTTGCTTCCTCTTCTGCTTTCCTCTGTTCCTTTAATCTCCTCTTCTCTTCCAATTCCCTTAACCTTTTTTCTTCTGCTTCTTTCTTGGCCTTTTCTAATTCCTTTTTCACCCTTTCCTCTTCTTTTCTCTTCTTTTCTTCTGCCGCTTTTTTTTCTGCCTCCTAATAAAATGAATCTGATATTCACAATGGATTCACCTATGACCTCCCAAGATTTAGAATTTAAACATTTTTTTTTTTAAATATCCCTTCTATGTATTCCTCATTCAGTAGTTGGGAACTTTAAATTACCGACGAAAAGTTTTAAAGAAATTCTTGATATGTCACAATTATCGATTTTGAGAGTATCTCATTATCAAATATCAATATTATAAGAAAATTTTAAGAAAACATATTAGAATTTTTATAAATTCGGATATAACATAAAACAGTTTTTATATTATATGTATATTACATATAAATTTATAAGTTAGTAAACTTTTAACTTGCATATTGGTAGCACCGACTAATTCTTATCTTTAATATTAATTGCTTTAAGGAATCTGTAAATTATAAACTTTTAATAGGTCATGGTTACTTGTTAGTAGTGTCAGATTAAAACGGATATACAGGGTGTCCCAGAATAACGTATACAATGAAGGACCACAAATTCGTGGACTCAAAATAGGCAGATTTAGGCTAATTCACCTATATCCGAAATCGCTTCGTTTGGCCGCTAGATGCCTTCAAGGTTCATGAAAATTTTTTGAATTTTGTAAATAACTCGAATACGTATTAATCAATTTTGATTATTTTTGGGGTGTGGACTTTTTCTTTCAATCTACACATTTTGGTGTTATAAAGAGTGTTTTTTAAAACCTGCAACCCATACAAAATTGATGTACGGTGATAACATTCGTTCATAACTTTTCCCTCTTTCAGGCAATAATGACAATTATTTTTTATCTGATAGGTAATACGATTTGGAAGTTTTTGGGCATCTTGTAGAATTTTGATTAAATGAACCCAAACCCTTTCATTTTTTAAATATCTACATTATCGTGCCACCCATATTATAATGACTAACAAAGTGTTAGTAGGTACTGATTTTGTAGGTTGACTGTACAGGGTTTATAGTTCAAAAGTAATAAAGAATTCCCTAACATTTCCAGGTTTTCCCTGACTTATAAAAAAAAATCCAGGTCACTTGTAGTTCATTTTTACATACTAATTGGTGTTTATGCATTAAATTTTTTCCCGACTGAAGTCCATAATCTTTTTTATACCCTAAGAACCTCTTATAGCTGTTTTACATTGACAATTTATTGATGAATAAATTGACGATGTTCCTCATGAATTAATTCACGAATTTATTGGTAAACAGTGTGGTTTCACACTGCTACAGACTTTGTCAAGTTTTTTGACGTATGAATCAGTTCTACCAATGAATCAAAGCAAATAAATTTCAAAAATTTCACTTTTCCGCTCATAATTCTAGTGATACAACGCCTCCTGGGAGCTGTATGACCTTGTCGTTGGTGGAGGAGCTTAAGTAGTTACAGTGAATCCAAGGGACCTTTATGGACCAAGAATCTAAAAAACAGGAACCCGAAAGGGGACCATCTACATCTGCCGGGGAAGCAGTAAGTGCTGGCCGGGCGGAAAATAAAACAGCCACTGGGAAACAAACACCAGTGACTGCTATATCTAGGGGAGTCGACAGACTGAACCTAGAAGGTAGGAAACAATTGTCTGGTGCGCAAAAGCGCAAACTTAAAAAACTGCGGAAGGCAGAGGCAGGGAAAAGGACAGGGGCCGGTGACAGAACCTGGCTCGAGTACCACTCCAACTCCGCAGGCAGCTGAACCGGGGCCAAGTGGACTCGGAAAGAAACGTGGACGGTCAGACGGTAGTGAGCCGATTTCCGTTCGGCCTGTTTCTAAGAGGCCTAAGGCCACGGGACAGCGTGGCAAGACTGACAGGGAGGCGTTGTCAGGGATCCAAGCAGTGGTGATCCCCCATGGATACCCGGAAGTCCGAATGGATGAGGACCAGATAGGACTTGTCCAGTCAGCGCTTCTGGGGGCCATTGACGGGATCGCGGGCGAGGGTACACGACCGCGCTTCCTGGAGTGTCGTCGAGGGGGGGGGGGGGAATGCTAGCGATCACCGCCTTCAACGAGGAATGCAATGCAATGGCTAAAAATAATTACGGCGAGCTTGGTGCCTTGGGAGGGGGCTAGACTCAGCGCTGTTGAGCCTAGGGACCTACCTAAGTTCACTAAGTTCATCGTATGGATTCCGGGTCATCCTGATGAACCGGAAACCATCATGCGCCGTCTGGAAAACCAGAACGGAGAATTGAGGACAGGGGCCTGGAGGCTAATCAACCGCAAGGTTGAGGAGAAGGGCCAGATCCTAGTCCTCTCAGTAGATGAGATGAGTGTGAAGGTACTTCAGAAGGAGGGCTTCAGACCATTTCTGAACTTCACCAGGGTCCTTTTTAGGAACCTGGAGAAGGGCAGGGTAGATTTGGGACCTTCTGATGAAGATCAGGAGGGACCAAAATCTGTATTATCTGGTCAAATTCCAGGTAATACAAGCGAACATTCAGCACAGTAGAGCGGCATCTGCTGCTCTCTGTGCCAGTGTGGCGCGCGCAAATGCGGATTTAGCTTTGATCCAGGAGCCTTGGGTACATGGATCCCGGATCAGAGGATTGCAGGTAAGTAATGGTGGCTTACTGTATTGTGGCCACCAAACTAGACCTAGGGCTTGTATTTATTACAAGAGTAGTATTAATATTTTTCCTCTTCCAGGGTTCTGTACGGATGACCTGGTGGTGGCCGAAGTGACTTATGTATCGGAGGGAACGCAGAGACAACTGGTGATTTGCTCAGTGTACCTCCCTTACGATAAGAAAGAATCTCCTCCAACCAGGGAACTGAGGGACCTGGTAACTTGGTGCGAGAAGGAGAAGAAACAACTCATTGTGGGATGTGATGCCAACTCACACCATACGGTGTGGGGAAGCAGCAATGTCAACGATCGAGGTGAGTCTTTACTAGATTTTCTTTTTAGTTATAATCTAGAGATTTTGAATGTCAGGAACGAGCCCACCTTTGTTATAAAAAATAGGAGCGAAGTTATCGATATGACAGTGGGATCGGGACCTGTATGTAATAATATTGCAAGGTGGCATGTGTCGAATGAGCCGTCAATGTCGGATCGTAGACATATCCACTTTGAAATCATAACGGATTATAATCCGCAAGTAAGAACCTGCAGAGACCCAAAAAGAACTGACTGGGACTCCTATAGAACGGAGTTACAGGCCAGGACTAGGGAAATCTGTACAAAATTAAGGAACACATATGATCTTGAGAGGGCTGTGGAGGAACTCCAAAACGCCGTCACAAGATCATATGAATACAGCTGTCCTATCAAAGTGAGGTCCGACAAGCACACCGTATCTTGGTGGAGCAAGGGACTCACACAGTTGAAGGGACAGACAAGGAAACTATTCAATAGAGCAAAGCGGACAGGAGAGTGGGAGGCTTATAGAGCAACCCTCACTGAGTATAATAAAGAAATTAGAAAAGCGAAGAGAGACTCATGGAGGAAGTTCTGTGAGGATATTGATAGTGTCCCACGGTGTGCTAAACTCCAGAGACTTCTCTGTAAGAATGAAAATATGAAACTCGGGTCTCTTAAAGCACCGAGTGGGGAATATACTAAAACTGGAAGGGAGACATTGGAATTACTTCTAAATACTCACTTTCCAGGCTCCCGGATATTAAACCACGGAGATGAATATGACTGGGATCACCAGCAGAGGGAAACGACATAACTGGGAGGTTGCCAAGACGGTGGTGAGTCAGTCACGAAGAAGATGGGCAATAAGTTCTTTTGACCCATTTAAATTACCAGGGATCGCCAGCCAATGGAATCCTACCTGTACTATTACAGCAGAGGGTGGACTGTCTAGCTCCAGTTTTAATTCACGTCTTCAGAGCCAGCATTGCACTTGGTTATATACCGCTGGCATGGAGATCAACGAACGTGGCGTTTATTCCTAAACCAGGGCGTCCATCGTATGCCCAGGCAAAGGCATATCGCCCGATAAGTTTAACATCTTTCCTCCTGAAAACGTTGGAGAGAATAGTTGACAGGCATATAAGGGACGGGGTATTGAGGGCAAATCCTCTGCACAGGTACCAATATGCCTATCAGGCAGGCAGATCAGTCGACACAGCCCTTCATAGCCTAGTCTCTAGGATAGAGAGGGCAATGGACGACAAAGATCTAGCTTTGGCAGCTTTTTTAGATATTGAAGGGGCATTTGATAATACACCTTTTGAATCTATTAATTCGGCAATTCGCAACAGGGGTCTTGATGACACTTTATGTCGTTGGATAGATACCATGTTGAGAAACCGGACAGTAACAGCTACCCTTTCGGGAGAGACATCCAGGTGTATGGTAGGCCGGGGCTGCTCCCAGGGAGGCATACTGTCTCCCTTGTTATGGGGATTAGTGGTAGACGGCGCACTGGAGGGCCTTAATCGAAAGGGATTTTATACACAAGGCTATGCGGACGACTTAGTCGTTCTCATAGTCGGGAAACATAATATTATCGTTTCAGAACTCATGAAATAGGCTTTGAAATGTCAGTTACTGTCGGTAAACCCTGACAAAACGGTCGTAGTACCCTTCACCAGGAGAAGGAATTTAATTGGACTCTCTGCACCTATAATAGGGGAGAGGAGCATTATACTTTCCAGGGAAGTAAAATATCTAGGAGTGATACTGGATAATAAGCTTACCTGGAATGTGCACTTGGAAAAAGTGGTGAGTAAGGCAAAGCAGACATTGTGTGTATGCCGTCGCCTTATTGGGAGCACCTGGGGACTGAAACCAAAGATATTATACTGGTTGTATACGTCGATAATAAGACCTAGGATTCTTTACGGCGCTGTGGTATGGTGGCAAAAATCACAACAGACTACAGCGAGGGAGAAACTGAATAGAATTCAGAGATTGGCCTGTTTAGGTATAACGGGGGCGATGGCATCGACCCCGACAGCTGCACTAGAAGTCATGCTAAATCTACCACCGCTGCATATAGTGGTGGAAAGAGAAGTGCGGCTAGCAGGAATATCGGCTCAGGAATAACAATGACTGGAGCGGTGGTTCCCATTACAGGATCATAGACACATCTATGTCGGAACCAACTTTTGGGAAGTATCTGAAAAGATGGTTCCAAGATTTCAAATCCACAAGCATTTTGATACTCGAATAGAGGATCAAAGCAAGTGGGAGGAAAGATTTAATACACTGGAAAGGTGGAGCCTAGTATGGTTTACAGATGGCTCCAAAATGACCAGAGGGACGGGTGCAGGAATATATGGACTCAGACCCAGATGGAGTGCAAGCTACAGTCTGGGGGAGTTCCCTACTGTATTCCAAGCAGAAATCTTCGCGATAATGGCGTGTCTGGCAGAGAATGTACGTAGAGGTTATAGACGTAAACTCATATATATATTCTCTGATAGTCAAGCTGCAATTAAAGCTTTAGCCGCACACAAGGTAAGTTCAAAACTGGTGTGGGACTGTTTACA